TGCCAATCTCGCGTGTTGGCGCCACGCCAAGATAAGCACCATCCAGGAACGGCCAATTACTTGAACATTTTTCTCTCCGAGTTCTTCCCACAATTTGGGCCAGAGAGGATCTTTTTTTGTGCAATATGTAATCAGCACGCGAGCCGACGGGGGTGTAATTTTTTTTTGCCTGCCGTGGAGGAATTTGTTTTGATCTCCCTGCTGACGCCGGGTGATGATTACCAAGTGAGATTTTTTTCTTCAAAAAATAAGGGGAGCAGAACTTTTGCCGTTCGCTGCTGAGTGAGTATTACTGATGCAAAACAATGTTTTGAATCTTTTTAACAATAAAAAAGAGGCGAGCAAAGTAAGAGGGCTAAACATCTCGAGGGGAAAAAAATTATTTTAACTCCATGGGAAAACAAGCAGGCACTTGAATAATTTATTTTGCGTCTCCCAGAATCCCAGCACAATCCAAACTTATTACTTTGGCGAACCGCTCTTAATTAGTGGATTAATTAATTTAGGTCTGAATTAGTTAGTTTGGAATTTGGAGCTTCTTAATTAATTGTGCAGGCTAAATATGATATCTCTGGAATGCTTTGCATTGACCATCGTGAATTTGTTTGACGTTGATGGGCTTTAAAAGCAGGAGGTTTGCACAATCAATTAATGTTTATAATATAATGGTTGTTTGGAATGACCAGGAATGACGATCCAAAACATTGTGAATGAGAATTTTAATTTATGAGGTAAAGCAAAGCTGAAGGGAAATATTTTAAATATATTGCAAACTAATTTTTTCAAACTAACTTTACAGTAAAAATATTTACAATATAACCATTTTTGTTTGTTAAAAACCTGCGACCTGCGATGGTGAAAACAACCGGCGTAAATTGTCCAATAAAAATTATAAATTTAAACTGAATAAAAAATATTTATTTCATCTAATCCAATTCGATTTTTCTTTTTGATGGTTTCACAAAGTTTATAAATGAGAGAGAATGAGGTATGTGTGTTTTCAAAAACATGTTCAGAACGTTAATTTTTACAGTCACCCCTGCCAATTCATTAGTGACGTTTATATACATACGGAACGTGTTTCTCGTTGTCTTTGATGTGCCTCGGGCTTAAATCTATTTAAACAGCGAAACAACAGGACGCACTGGTGTGTTTGACCACTCAAACCCCAGTCCTGAGCGATACACGGTCATATTATGATGATCCCTTTGGCACAAGTTCGACGTGTCACTCTCGGAGAAAAGTTCAAAGTCACTCTGGCTCGATAAATCAGAGGGCGAATATAAACATCATCAAAACCGCGGAACACCAACTCCTCACCTACTCATCAAAACTTTTGCTAATGATGAATCTATCTCGTATGAGCAAAGACCAATTAGGGTCAAGAGAAGCAATTTTAAATCAAGTGCTCTTTCTCCACTTTGTTGACGGGCGTTCGTTTACAACTGGGGCAAGGAACAAAAAGGAGATAAAAATTACATAATTATCCTGCTGTGCGTTCTACTTTTCTCTTCTACACAAAGAGGGATCACAAATATTCTAAATTCTTAATAAATCTCCTAATTAAAATGAAAAAAATATATAATTTGTTATCTCAAGCCTATTATGCTCTCAATAATTCTTAAACTTGGATAAATTTTTAAAATCTGTTTTAAATTTTAAAATGCATTGCTTGCATCCAAAAAATTATAAATAATTAATAAATCAATATGTCAGAAACTCATTTCCATTTCTTACTTAACATATTAATAATTCGAATTACTCAGAGATAGAAAAGGATCCTTTTCTATCATTTTTTTCCTGTTACCAAATTATAAATTTTTGTAATTACGGCTGTAATATGTAATATCACACCATAACACAATGAAATCAATGCATTTTAATTGTTACATGATTTTCATAAGCTCAATTGATATTTTTACTTTTCTTTATTTTGTCTTGTCCTAAATAATTATTTTTTTGAATGCAACCACTTGTAAAATCCATTACTGATTGGCGCCATTCCCTTTACAGCCGGCCTAACTTTCATTAAAAATAAGTCGATGCGCGCAACATGCAAATATAAGTGAGCAAGATTTTGAATTATTAAAAGAAGCCGCAGCAGGTCTCTTTGATGCGCCACCGCTTTTGAGTGTGGTTCACTAAAAGCGAAAGTGCGAAACCCATTCATAGCTGCATGATTAATCCTTTCATTCCTCTCTGAAACCTTATTTACAAACAATAATCCGGCGTAATCTGGGCCACTCGCTTTAATTGCCAACTTTACGGATAATTCATCAGTGCCACTCACTCGCAGCGATGAATAATTATTGCGCAGCGGCTCAATTATTTATAACCAGCGGTATAATATAAAAGTTGCCGGCGACGCAGAAAAAAAGGGGTGTACGTTTCATTTTCAGCCCGTGGGCTTGCTCGCTTACCCGGAGTTTATTCAGGAACGCAACAACAACACTTCTTCTGTTTTGTTTTTTTTCCTCGTTTTTACCATCTCTCGCGAGGAAGACAAAAGAGAGCAGCGCGAATAATTAATACATTTATTTTTAGTCCGACGAAACACACACCTGCGACCTTTTTGATCTTGTGGGCGCAGCAGCTCATTAAAGGGAGAGAAATATAATCTTCTAATGCTTCAGATGCAATTTCGCCCTTCTCGAATTTCAGTACATATGAAGGGGGCTTCTCTAGTGCGTGGGATGTTGCAGTCTGCGGTTTTATTGTCGCTGCACTCTGATTGTTTTGGTTTGCCTGAAGCCATTCTTGTCCTGGTTGGTAAAAGTTGCTTGCAATATAATCAAAATCTTGATTTGGATTCCAAAAATTGCCTAATGGCAAATATAAAGGAATTAATTTTAAAATAATCAATATAATAACTTTTGCAAAACAAAATAAAATATTAACAATTGGCAATTTTAAAAAGAAAAATCATAAAAAAATATTTTTTTTTAATTAAAATTTTTATTTATTAAAAAATCCAAACGATCATATCTTTGCCACACCTAAAAAAAAATTAAATTAAAATTAAATTAATATTTTTGTTTATTATAATTTTTAATTTTACAGCTTTTTAAGTTCCTAGCTAATAAAATAATATTGTTTCCATGAAAAAAAGATGAACTGCGGCTAGAAACCTGGGGTTCCTTGTGGCAAATAATAAAAAAAATTGGGTGGTGCCTTCTGCAACACTAATAAAGGGCACAGACTTTGTCTTGGCCTGACCCTAAAAACTTTTTTTTTGTATTTTGGATTTTCTGTTTCTCTGATAATTATTCAAAACTTTAGGTTTAATTGAATTTTTTTCACCAAATTTATAACATAAAATCGAACACATTTCTTCAATGTCATATAACTTTATTTTCATTTTAATATTTTTAAAGCTACTTTCAATTTTCTAATGAGTTTGCTATTTTTTTTTTATTTTTTTTTTTATTTATAAATTAGAGTCATTTCTCTGATCACACCATTTTCACTATTGTACTTTTCTACAATTATAGGAATAAATAAAGCATTAACTTCTTTATTATTCTGCTAAAACTTTCAATACGCAAACAAAGTAGGGCGAGCACCTTCTTCAATATAAAATGAAAAACTCGCTGTTCACTGAACTATGGAATTACTTTTGTTCATCGAGACAAATATAAACATGTACAAACAAAATGGCAGCTGAAAAAGTATGATATTATTGCGCACACAACCTTCAGCTTCAATGAACGCAAAATAAAAACGCTCATTGTCAGTTCGATTCCTTTCAATCTCCCGTTGAAAATTGGGCAAAAAATATTAGCTGGATTCCTTTTGTGCGAATTTCATTAAACTCGAAATACACTCTCGACGTAGAAAAATCAGAACAGATTGAGTGGGTGAAAGTGGGTTGCAAGTGTGATTCTATAAAAGCAGGCGCAGGGACAAAGAATTGCAAAAAGGCATCCTACGCCTCGCTGATTGTCGCACTCAATTTGGCTGGAAATATCAGAGCGTGGAAATTTTTCAACAATAGGTTGCTCGGGCAGGTGTAGGCTGCGTCTATTTCACTTCGTTTCATCGCACCTCTGTTTATCAGAGCGACGTTTACACCTACGAATGGGTGAAGCTCAAAGCATTTCGTGCACACGTGATTTCCCAGTCTTTTTTTGCATTGCGATATCGCAGCAAAAAACCATATTATGTATAATAAAGTATTTTATTGCAAAACATACTGACAGTAGCAGTCCTTTCGGTGAATATCACTGTAGTGCATGTTCAACTTCTATTTTAAGTGTGCATTGTTGCTATATGGACTCTGAAAGTATTCTTCTGTTTTTGGCATTATTGAAATAAATTGTACTAAATGAAAATCATACATAATTTCATTTATTATTATTATAGAAAAAACGGTTTAAAATTACACAAAAGAAGCAAGTAATTAAAGTTCTTTTTCATAAGGTCAGGATTTTGCTAAAAGAATCTAAATTCAAAGAAAAAAAGAAATTTGACGCCGAAAGATAATTTTTTATTAGTTTTTTAAATAATACGACGAAGAAAATAAACAACCAAACTATATGATGTCACATCAGATATAAACTAAAATATGATACCGTCTGCCTCAGACGTTTTGTGAGAATTGCAATGATCACATCTTCAACAAAAAATTAAATTAGACAATGGGGATTATTTATCAGCAAAAAACTAAACTTACTGTTTAACTTAAATTTTGCTTTCACACAAAAAACTCGGTGCCTAACAGGCTCAACAGATGTGGGCTTATCTGCCGCACTTCTGCGCGCTGCAGCTTAAAATGCGGCAGTTAGGCTCATTTCTCACCGCTGCCGCCTGCCTGCAAATGTGCGGCAGGTAAGCACGTTTTAAGCTGCAGCGTACAGAAGTGCGGCAGATAGGCTCGCTTCTCGCTACTGCCGCTTGTGCGCAGAAGTGCGGCAGATAAGCCCACATCTGTTGAGCCTGTTAGGCACCGAGTTTTTTGTGTGTTCACATGAGTATTTCAAAGGAAAACCTTGGTTAAGGAAGTAAATGGTTTCTTTTGAGATAAAGTTTAGTGAGGAATCAAGGATGCGAGAAAAAACCCATATGTGATAAAAATGTAATTAATTATAAAAGATGAATGGATACATCAAGGTTGAAGTGATTAATGCTTACCAAGAACACAAACCACCTATCTACGCTTAACTTCTTAATAAAAAAATTTTCCAAGACTTCTAGAACAATCCAAGGACAACTGTTGAAATTTAATTAAACGCATAATTAAACTCTATTCAAGTAAGCAGTCCCGTAGATAAAATATTATTTGGTTGGTTTATTGATTATTTAATTACTATGTACTAAAATTAAACCCGTTGCATAGGCTGAACAATCATGTAAATTAATTATTTTCTAATTGTCAAAGGACTCTGTCATTTTCAGTAAATTAAAAAGCGCTCATAATTAAATTCAGAGGTCCATGCTTTTAATTATGCCGCTTTCGTCAAATTAAACATTAAAAAGCTATAATTATCCACTAATGTCCAGAGTGGAGGGGAATTTCGCCCTGATCTCTCTGCACTGCAGCTTGTCAATATTCAGTGAGTGTCTCTTCACCCGAATCTCGCTCTCCAAGTGGCCTCTCATCTTGATTAATTCTAAAAGTCGCTTGTGCGCCTCTTCGAGGCTCGTCTGCAGTCTTCCTGACGAGCCGTCACTTTGCTGTACTTCGCTCAGCAGTCTGCAAGCAAAGAATAATTAATTAGCCTCGCAAAAACAGACAGGTGAGAAAGATGAATTTTTGTCCCGACGCCCAGCCAAAGCTGAAACTTGAGAGGATATCTATCTTTTGCAATGAATTATCCAAAGTACACTAAAAGTCCTAAATTTGTTATTTCATATAAAAAGTTTTTATTCCGTTTGTATTTTGAAACGGGATGCTATTTGCAGAGCTTCCTTAAGAGAGAATTTTACAATGTATAATTATTGAAACCTTCCCTGATTGACAAAATCCTGGTGATTTTTCAAAGAAAATTATTTATTTTATTTATTTATATAAAATAACGAAAAATATAGTTCTCCGTTATGGAATAAAATTAATCCAATACTCCTGAAAACGTATGTATATAACTTTTAATTATAAAACCCGCGAGCTTGAAAAGTATGAAAAAGAGAGATCATCAGTCCCAGCATTATCGCTTTGATGAACGACCCATGGTGTATGGGTTGGAGCATTTTGTTTCTATCAATCATTGAACCTGACGCTTCGCCTGCTTATTTATGCATGATGACGGTCGGTGGCGGGATTCATCAAAAGCTGGGTCAATTCCAATGGCAGACACCGCCGCTCATCAAATTTTGTCCACGGACTTTGGAGAATTTCATACCAAACGGTAAATGTGCCGTTTGCGTAAATTGTAAATTCAATTTGAGAGATGGAAAATGGGAATTTGAATTTAATTATTTTCAGCATTTCCATTTAATGCTCATGGCAAATTCAAAATAAACTATTGGAAAGGTGTAACTCCAGAGGCAACCACCTCATCAAAAACCAATTAGGAAAATAAATAAAAAAATAATTTACATAAAATAAATAATTAGTATATGAAATTTTTATTTCACATAAAATAAAAGCAAATATATTTCAAAAAGCTTAAAAAATAAGGCAAATTAACTTTTGTAAGCATCCAATTGAATAAATATCAAGAATTTTGTCCTCAATTGAAGTTTTTAGTCACTCATACTCATAGAGAGAACAATGGAAGCAATATTTAAAAACTCATTGTGTTACAGCAACGTGTGAATGGAAACAAAAGCCAAAAATTGTTCCAACCGAGCGAGTTTTTTGGCTGCTGGGCGACCGTGATTAGTGCCATCACTTTGCGCGGTGGCGGCGCCATGTTGACTTATATTATCTGAGCAAAGCACATTAAAAATTTTCCGCAAATTACATTCATGAATGATGGCGGCGATTCATAAATCTCACCGTGTGAAAAAGTGGGTGCAATTTGGAACGTGCGTCGTTTGACGCAAATTTTAATTGCCTTTCCCAAGGGACACCATTCAACCCCGGCCTGAATACGAAGTCCACAATAGGGATGATTAACGTGAAAATGACAATTTTTTTTAAAGGTGATTCTTTGGATCAAATTTTAGTTGAATCAGTTCCAGGTAATGCCGGTAATAAGCAAAAGAATCTATTCCAAATGGTCAATTTTTCGAACACTTTAGAAGAAACTAAAATTAAAAGTTAATAGTTTAATTTATTTCTCTGATGTAAATTTATGATTTATGAGGGCAGTGAGTTTCAATTTGGTGCAATAATTTAAAGACCCCGTCAATTTTATTTTTAAACAAAACATTCGTTTGCTGTAAGTTCCTAATAATTTATACCTGTATTAAATATACATCAAAAATTAAAATTCTGGAAATAAAATACCGGCAGCCTAAAAATAATCCAAATCCAGTCCCAGATGTTTAAAAAAAAATCGTGGGATTAAACAATGCATTTTTATTTTTTTCCCTTTTTTATCAAAAATAGGGAGGAATTCGCTATCAGGATGAATTTGGTAGGGCGAATTAAAAATAACCAAAAATACTTTTTTCAAGAGAGTAGGGTCGGTCACAACTCATTTTGTATCTATGGAACTTGCGAAACGCTGCAAACAAAGCTTCTACGCCCTGTTGGAAAGCTTTTAATGGAAAAGCAGAGTGCACAGGTGCGCAGGCTGGCAAAATGAGAGCGAGAGAGAGCTTTTTGAGATTCCAAGCGTGTGTTTCGAAACGACGGTGAATAATTTTGGAATCGAAAATCGATAGGGCTTTGCCACAGAATGAAAAATTTGTAGCAGCTCACAGATGTCAAAGTAATTTTTAATATGCAAGGCAAAAGAATAGGTAATGCTATAGGCTATAAGTGGAAAACCTCAAAATAGGTTATTTTAGGTCATTATATAAGTAGCTCTAATTTTAAGTATGTGAAAAATTAGGCCTAATAACATTAAATATGTAAGAATTATTAATATTATTACATTGTCTTCATTTTTTTTTTTTTTTTTTGCAACAAGGAGGTTAAAAAGGTGGTTGCATAATATTCAACATCTCCAATTCAATTACTAACAAATTAAATTTTCTCGATCAAAATATTTTTCTTTTATTGTTTCTTTTTATAAAATTTGACAGACAGATATTGCTTTCATCTTTTTCTGAAATTAAATAGGTTTGGATGGAATGTAATGATATCTTAATAAAGAATAAGTTGATCCTTATATCCTTATAAACTTATTAACAATAATTGATATTGAATTTAATCTATAATTATCAAAATATCTGTTTTGTAAATATATCAACGCGCAGGAATTTTAACTTTTGTAAGGTTCACACATTAAGTAAAATTTTTAACGAAAAATATTAAAAATAATTATTGTAAAAAGAACTGGAATAAAAGAAGTTGAGTTCAGGATCTTGAAGGAGAAAAATTATTAAATTTATTCCATTTTCTATCTGTATTTCTACTTTAAGTTGCAAATCTCCATATAAGTGGTTGGATTTGTTTGTTATGCTATGCAACCCATAACCCATGCCAGTTTTGGTCGGTGCCCTTCAACACAAACTGCATTCAGAGCATAATTCTTGGGTAGGCAAAATTGAAATTCATGGAGCACACCCTTCCCTCTCGTTCCAGTGCATCCGTTGGAGGCGCATTGTTGCACAACGCCGAGGGTTGATTTGAGGCTGAGAGAGCGAGCAGGGGCTGATTGCCCCTTGGGTGCCCGGAATTTAAATTATCATTCATTAGCTTAATTGAATCGACGCGCACGCTCTTCGTAAATTGAGAGTTATTCCAATGAAGAGAATTTCTTTTCATGCTATGGTCGGCGTTTTTTTTCTGTAAAGAAATTCCCCCTTTCTAAAAAGTTTTCTAACAAAAGAGGAGAACTTAAATAGTAAATTTTTCCTGAAATTTGTTGTCAAGAGAATGAGTGAAGTGATTTTTTCGGATCGTGTTTTCATCAAACCAAAACAAACTTTGATAAATGTTATAATACCCCTTTCTTGCTTCTGTGAATGTGTACGATTGACATTTTTTGTTGCTTTTCATTTATCAAAATTAAAATTGACTTTCATTTGGATGATGCAGGAAAAAAACATGACTAGCTTCAGCACTTATTTGATTAGCCAGTTGTTAGTGTGCGTGGATTGTGGTATTTCGCTTGGAAATGGTAACAAAAGCAGACATTTTCGCTTTGTGAATTTTCTGTATGGCTGTAAAGCAAAATATAACTAAAGCGAACGTAAATAAGTTGCAGCGCAGGAAAATTTAAAATGTAGCTCATTAAAACTTTTTAATTGGAATGGTTGGGAATGGTTTGATTCAGTGAAAAAAGCTACATGCGTTTATTCAGTGTGCTCTCACGTTCAGTCAAGTTAATGGTTTTCAGTTATTATTAAAAATATAAATAAACACTACGCATATTCAGAAGTTTACAAATTGAAAGAAATATTTTTCATCATAAACTCATCAGCACTCAGGATTTTTTTTACCGATTAAATTCACTCATTCAAAATAATAATAATAATAATCTTGATTTAATCGGAATCTATATTTCTTTATAGAGGTTTAAATAATTTTAACTGTTAAAAATTATCTACAAAATAGTCAACCAAAGAAGAGAAAAGTAGCAAAAATTTATCAAATTGAAACATGCTCAAATCAATATAAATACGCTTTATTGCAATTTGATAAGAGAGAAAAATGCGTGTTAATAATAATAAAATAAGTTGCACTTGCCCGTATTGTGGCGGATCATCGCAGTTTTCCGTAGGCTGAGGACGCGCCTTCCGAATCTGCAACCGTTGCTGCGCCACCCTGAGTGGAATGCCATTATTGAACGACGCCTTTTGCAGGTCGGCTATCAGTTTCTCCGTGTCAACGATCCGCTGTAGGACCTGAAATAAGTGACATAAGACATAATATATACTAGTTATTTCTTTTGCCTGCCAGATTTAAATTTGCACTGAAGAATCATAAAGATTTTTTTTTTAATTCAAAATGTATGATTTCTTGAACAAATTATTTTAGTTATTATTTCTGTGAAATCAGCTACATTGACGATCCTATTCCCTAATTTTATCAAATTCTGATAAACCTGCATAAGAAAATTGTAATTTTAAATAACAAATTTAAAATACTTTGGCGGTCTTTTAAATTAAAAAATATCGAGTCCAGAAAATTAATAATACCAAGTCTAGCTGGTGCTCCAAGGCGATCCTGCACTCTTCAATTTCAGAGATGCGTTTTTCAAGGGCGTTCTCCACCGAGTCAGCCTGTGATCGCAGATTTCGAGCAACCGTGGTTAGGATTTTCTCGATGTCTCGTCGGAGGGTGGCAGACGCTGCCATTTGTCGCTCCACGTGAGCCATGTTTTCCTTGCTGAACTGCTCCCACTGCAGCGGATCCACTTGTCTGGAAGAATTGCAGCGTGTTTTATACTCTCGCTGGAAAATCGTTTTGCTCGGCAGGGAGTTAAGGCCGCGTGACATGTGTCTACTATGATTGAGTGGGCTCTCTTTTGTCGGGTGTTTTGGGAGGTCTTTGTACTCGGCGTCACAATAAAAGGACAATTTATGAGTCTGGCCTTTGAAAGGAAGAGCGACTCCCGACGGCGGAAAATGGTCCAGCGTTATATCTGGACCGTAAAAGATGTGAAAAATAGCCCTTTTTCCTCTTTTGAGAGATTTCTGTTATCATTGAATAACGAATAACGGCTTTATTCAAATCAGAAGCAAACACCAGACTAACAAATTCTTTCAATAGTGGAATTGTATCAGTTTTGCATTACTTTCATTTTGATGAAACCAAAAAAATTAAATAAATAAAAAATAAATGTTTCCAATAGATAATTATCAATTCATTTTACTTAAAACGAGAAAAGTTTTAGGCTGCAATTAAAAACAAGTTTTTATAGAAATTGGGGGAAGATTTTGTTACACAAATAACTACTAAAAATTTTTAGTTCACTGGTTTTCAAAAGTGATTTACATTTAGTTTCAAGCTGCAACTTCTTTTTATTTATAATTACTTCTCTATAGAAAAAACGACGTGCGTTATTTAAGCAATAAGTCTTGCTTGGATGTAAAAGCAACAGAAATTAAAATTCATCACGCCTACCCCTCTTTTGTTCTGACTTTATTTTTGCTTTGAAAGGAGGAAAAACTTTCTTCATTTCCAAACTTCACGCACGAGTTAAGTTATATTTAAATTTTTTTAGAATTTCCATCTTCCCAACTTTGATCAACCTACGCAGTTTTATTTTTTACAGTTAAGTTAAGAGAAAAATTTGTTATTATGAAAAAAAAATGCAAAATACAGTTCAAATCTATTTCATCAAAAACACGTACGTGCGTGAGTGAGAAGGATAGATGCTTGATTTAATAATGCCAAAGTGAAGGAACTGACAACTAATTTGGCAACTTGGTCGATCTGAACACAATTGAAAATGGGAAGTGCGTGTTTTATTATTCATGGCAGCGGTGCAGAGGGACTACTAATGAGTATCAGCAGACGGACGGACAGGCGCAAGCAAGACTTAATTTTGTTTTCGCCCAAGCCGACCAAGCGCGAATTAGAGCAAAGTTTGCCTGTGGTGCGGTTTTTGCCCTCAATAGATTAAGGCAGACTAATGCGCTGCGGGAATCGCCAGAGCAGATCAATTAGATCGAATTCGCTGCAGACTGGACTTTGAATGATTCAGTGTGGTTTTTGAGTGAGCAACTCGCAATTACATCGATTGAGTGATAAATATTAAAAAATTAGATTGAAAGTTAGAAGTATATTAAAAACTTTTATCAAGAAAAGGACTTGAAAAGTCATTTTTTTCCTAACACAAAAATGAAATTATCAATCCCATAAAAAAAATTCAAATTTTTTTTCCAGTTGAGTGCTGTTTGACGGAAAATATTTAGGAATCTCTGCGTTTGCCCTTTGAGAATTGAAGGACGAGGTGAGGTTGTAAATTTATATATCAATGATTAATGGAACTGTCTGCCTGGTTTGAAGTTCTCTTGATGGCAAAATGATATTCAACTCTCTCGTAGAAAAAAAATAAATGTGAACTGCTTTTGCGGAAGCTGTGGATGACGTTAAAAAATAAAACGTGCAATGGAAATTGCGGCAACTTTTGCAGACTTATTTGAATGCTGCAAATTAGCTGTTGATATGAATGCAGCTAATTTTCTGCTTGTAACTTTATTAATTGATCGGAAAATTGCTGAGAAATTCGTTCTGTATTTGACAGGTTAAAAATATTAAATAACATTCAGCTGCCTGAATAAAGTTGCTCAATGTTTGAAAAGTAAGCACGTCAACGGCATCGAAGCATTGGTTATTTGATTATTTCTCAACTTTGAAGCTTTCAGTGTATTTTTTTAATTTTAATAAACTTCATATTTTATAAATTTTGATGTTTATGCTAAAAATACTTTCTCCTCTGTAAATACCTATCAAATAACTTTGAAGAAATTTACTTACGAAAAAATTTTAAATTTGATCAGACCATTTTTAGTTGCATTTTTAAATAACTTTATCCAAAAAAGCAAAAAAATTATGCTCTTTTTTAAGAATTTCATGTTTTATACATTACAATGGTTATCGATTATAGGTTTTGACTCGCGAATTTAGCGTCGCTCCAATAATTATTTCTCCTCCAATTTCGCCCTTTGATGTATATTTAAAAAAATCAAAGTCTCTTCAATCGTATTTATCTATTAATAATGATGGCGTACGTGCCATGCCGCAGCAATCAACCCACCATATTGCTAATTTAGACCGTGTTATTTCGCCCTTCTGATTTCTGTAGAGAATGCTTCAGTTGTTTCAACTGGCATTATTCATTTGGACAGCCCTCGTGTGAACTTCAGTCTGCTGCTGTCTGTCACTTGGCAACACAGTTCACTCCCACACTTTACTCGGAAAGCAGGGCTTTGATTGGACCTTCCGAATTGCAAATACTAATAATTCGCCTGGTATATTCTGTTGATACAATCGATACGAACCAAAAGTATTTTTTTTCTGGCCCTATGTTCTAGGTTTAATTTGGGCAACAAGCGCCAAGTCAACACAAATACAGCGAGAGAGTAGCCAAATTATCCGTGAGAGCTGCCGTCGTGTTTTGCATGTCAGGCAAACAGTCGGGCTTTCCTGTAGCACGGGTTGCGTAACGCGGATAGCGTAGGCGCGAAGCAAAATAAGTGACCCTCGGAGGCACGTGTAATCTCAGAAATCGGCCAAATTTGAATTGCGCGTTATTCAAGTGGATCTTCGCGTGTTTGCAGATTAATGTAGCTTACGAGCGACGGCATTTTGATAAACAAGCTGCTCATTTTCCGCAAGACCGACCGAAAATGGAGCGAATTAATTAAACACGCCATTTGAGTTTTCGCTCCTGTGATTTCATTAGCACGAGTATCAAAAGAAAAGGAGACGTTGATACCAACTTCTGGGCTGGCTACAGGCAGAATTTAACTTTCGGTGGTGGAATTCGTGTAGAACTTTTACCTTTTCAAAGTTTTGGAGCAGTGGGTGTTCTTTTGGAATCTTAAATTACACTTGTGATTGTAATACAATTCTTCCTCATTCATTACGTTAAACTGGAAGAGGTGGGTTTGCAGACGAAAATGATTGATAAAAGTGTCGAAAAAACCTACAAAACGATTTTGAAATGGATTTGGAAGTAATTCAATGGTTGTATATTATAGGTAAATTAAAATAATTATTTTAGATGATTTAACTTCAGTTTTGTCAATCTTAGAGACCGTAGACGACCTAGACACTATTAAATTGAATAATCATAAAATGTTTTCAGAACTATAATGTTTTTATTTAAGAAAGAAATGCTTCAGAAGTTAAGTCTCATAAATTTTTGCGCAGGTAAATTAAATTTTCTGTAAATATAACCGAATATAAAGAGGAAATGGCTGAAGAAATTAATAGAGTCAGAGAATTCGGTTCTGCCTTTTGGCCTGGAGGAAAACGTGTTAGTCTTGGCAAGAAAAAGTAAAAGGCCTATGTGTGAAGAGGGACTGTGTTTGCGCGTTTTTTCTTGACTCTTCTCTCAATCTTTTGTTTTGCAAGAAAAAGATTCTTACTGAAAAGGTAGATGAGTCGCCGAGGGGCAGAGGCGCGCCGCGTCACATCTCGCCGTGTTTATGAGCAGGCACTCGGTCTCCAAGTGACCTGCTTTTATTTTGTTGCTCCAGTCTTGCTCGGTGAGATCGCGGCCGTTCCGCAGACTGCACAACTGCGACCACGTTTCTGCCGACAAATTCTGCAACATGCTTCTCGTGCTGTCAATTAAGCAGCTCTCCTGCAACACGTGATGGACCAGAATTAATTTCACTCTCGAGTGATTTATTTATCTCGACTTTTTCTACAACCCAATCGCTTCGTTTTGAAATACATGTTCCTGGCTGCGAATACGATCGCCGCAGCCAAGTGGAAGAATTAAGTGAAAGCTCTCATTGTGTCTCCGGAGCAATTTGTTCCATTTTCGAGAGTGAACGTAATCTTCGTTACTGCACACTTGAGTCGGCCTTTTGTGACGACGAAATGGACTGCGCGGAGTGCTGCGTTTTTGTGTGTTTCCATCTGCCAGTGTGTAATTGAATTCGCCAACTTTTAATGGGCATGCGAAACTCGTGGTCTTGCTGTCGAAGTTTATTGCTCAGACTTAATCCTAAAACCATCCTTCTACCATGAACAATCAAACAAGAGTACTTAAAATGATATTCGTCTTAAAAGGGAGCCGCCCCCAACATTAACATTTGAGAATTTTTTTGTCTTCATATAAAGATTATTTCAATGAATATATAAACAATTCAGTAATTTTGATTGAAAATTACCAATGAAAATTGAAGAAAATTTGTGTAAAATTCCACGATCAAGTGTTAATTTGTGGTGTGAATTGAAAGGCGGCTTTTCCTTGCAGGCAAGTAAGATATTGTCTTTTACAAAACACCAAATTAAATTATTTCTGCAGCTCACGAATTTTATAATGAGGTGCGGTGCGTTGAGCAAATTGATATTGGAAGGGAAACAAGGTATCAAAATTTTTTCTTATTTTTATTGCAAATCCTAGATTTTAAAAATTATCAAAAATTCACATGATTATTATTTTACTAAAGAGTATTGTACGTTTCTTGTTAACAATTTACAAAATTCACATCAGTCATAAATATTATGTGTTTCATTCCATAGGGAGATTCGTTCGCGAAATGGATAATCCATTTCGCGAATTCTAAATTTTTAAAATTGTGACTATTGAAATGATCACAAATTAATAAATTCTCTTTCATTTTAACTCAATGTCGACTTGTCGAGTAAATTTTGGTGACTCTACAAAATACATAGGAATATTATTTTAATTGAAATTTTCTGACCTGGTGAAGCTGCTCCTGAACTTCGTCTGCGACGAGGTCTTGCTCCAATCTGTTCTGCCGTCTCTCGAGGCATTCGGCGTTGATCAAAGCCGGCGTCGTGAGGGCCACAATGGACCTTTTGACGCGCTGCCTCTGCGTTTCCAGATGCTCTTCCTCCTCGCGGCACATCCAACAAACTTTGGACAGGTCGCACAGAACGCTGCGGATTTCCTGGGCGCGGGCGGATAAGAGGCGAGAATTGGTCTTTTGGTCCGTATCACTGCGACTCGCACACTCGGTCATGCATTGTCGGCAATCCCTGTTCGTCCTGCGGCAAAGTATGTGGGTAATAGAATTCCTCTATGTGCAATACATATAATATATATACATAAAAACTGTGAGTTGCGATAAATTCCAAATAAAATCACCAAAAGCAAAAAGCGAAGAGTAGATTTTAATAGAAATTTCAATTTTGTTTCAACTGAATAATGTTTGAGGATTAAATAAAATGTCAATAATTTTTATTCAATATTATACTATAATATTTCTACATGCGTCTACCAGCAGCTTCAATTATAAGCTCTAGATTGGTGTATATAAACAGAAATTCACTTTCACATAATCAAATTTACTCTGCGTTTCCACTTGAGAGAATTCGTGGGCTTTGCTCATTTGCGTAATTTCAGCGCTCCTGCGTGAAATAATTGATTTCGCTCTGAGTCAAATTTCAGCAAGCTGTTGCCAAGAATGAAAATTTGCTAAATAAACAAATATCCTCTGATCTTCATCGGTGTTAAAAAAAGGAGCGGCTTAAAAGTTTGTGAATAATTCAGTTTCTATGCACGCAAGAGAAAAAATAATAAACGTTTATTGCAAAAGTTTTTATAAGAAGCTTAAAAAGTGTACCAGCTTTAGGTGATTTAAAAAGTGTACACAAAAATATAACTAGAGCTAGGTGGTGTTTGGTTCTGTTAATTTTTCGTTCGCAGGATTTTTTTCTTTAGCGAAAGCGACAGGGGTGTCACTTGCAAATTAATTTCTCCTGGCATCGCGATCTCCTCTTGCAGCCGCGACACGTTCCGCGCATTTTATCAAAACGAGAAGAGCCGCCGCGTCAGTACGTTAATTAAAACTTGCAAAAGTTTGTAACTCTGTCTCGTCGCGCGACACGAAGAACGACTCTCGAACAGACGCGACGAAATGAGTTGAAAGTTGACACGCCGACGTTTACCCGTACATAGTTTCCAAGACAACGCACCCACTTGTGACAATGCAAATGAGTGAAATGAGCAAATTGTACGCAAGGAATATGGAATATCCATTAGAATTATGATGGAATGTGAAATAATGTGATATTAATTTTTCTGTTACGCAAAATTTATAATTATAATGTAAATTAATCTTATATTACATGAAATTTAGTAGCATAATATTGGTGTTCAATTTTCAATTTGCTATTATAAAATCTAATTTATATTATATTTTATACACCGATTTTACTGCAAAATTTGCATTGTACTGTATAAGTTAAGTGAAAAAATAAAAGTTAAAATATATAACAATGATTTTTAAATTATAAACTTTAGCAATGCTCATTTTTTTATGTTAATTAACTATTTATAATTAAAATAAAAGATTTCTTACGTTCTTTCCTCCATTTGAAATTAAGTTACATTGATGTAGCACAACATACATCAAATTCTATAATATCTTAAAGAAATAATTTTTTTTTTATATAATTTATATTGTCAAATATCGTGGAAATCCTCGAGTGTCAACTTCTTCAAAGAAGTTGTCAAATATCATCTGTTTCATCAAAAGTGATACGATTATGAGAGATTATAAATGCTCTTCTCAAGTATAAAAATGAAAAATTTTCTCATGTGAAACCTAAAACTGCGCAATAAAGGGGCGCACGTATAGGCACTCTTTTTTCTGCAAAATGCGCAGTGCACATAGTTAAAGAGCTCTCGTTAATGACTTTGTGCCACTATTAAGGGCGCAAGAAATGTTCGCTAACTACGTGCACCTAACATGCTCACCGATTTCGTAAAGCCGCGCGTGAAAGGCGAGCTAACGAGAGAGTGAGAAGAGAGACCAAAAGTGCGAGATAAAATTAACCATGAACAGGCCATGGGATGAGGTGATCACATCATGCACAAAATGAAACTCTCACCGAGCAGCACATTTTGGAGGAAAATGAGAAAAAAGGGTTATCAAAAAAGCCTTTTTGGCATTATTTATGAACAATGTGCGCTGAAGGGTGAGGCGCGAAAATAAATCCCCCATGCTGGACGTAAATCTGATTAGATATTTTTCCACTCCGTGTAAATAAAATAACTCGTGATGAAAAGTTTTACGCTGAGAATTTGCATGTACATATAACTGGCGTATTTAAACCCATATAATTTGTATGCAACCGCGGCTTCACAGGAAAAGTGTCAAGCACAAGTTGCACAACAAAACTCGGAACTTTATTATACAAATGTACAATTACGCAAATAATTTTTCCAATAAAACTAGCATTCTGCTCGGCTTCACACTTTTCACTCCGCATTATACATAAACTTTTTACTGCTCTGCTTTCCGTGCAATTTCTCTTTTTAACCCATTGTCGCATCAAATCAGTGAGGAATCGGTTTATTTCTTATTTCCACAGCTTGGCTGGTGCTCTGGGAATTTATTGCTGGCAAGGGAAATGCATTTATTTCACTTACGCGAGTGCAGCGAGCTGTGCATCCGTTGATCGCGAGCACAAATCCGCATTCGCCGAAGCCCATTCGGCCGGAGTGTATCTGCACAGGGCGTACTTCCGAGCGGCTGTGTCATAATTTGCGATATGCGTTGGAACTTGAGCTTGCAAATCTACGTTGGCAACGATTTTCGGCTTGAAATCGACTGTGCTTGGGTCTATTGAAAAGTAAGAGCAGAGAAAAGGAGCCAATTTAGATAATTGCACACTCAATTAAGTGAAGTGCGCAGCGCTAGTTTCTTTGGAGAAGAAAAGCAGGTCTTTCATCTCTGCAAAAAGGAAAGCTTGGGACGGTGGTTTCAAGAGAGACGCATGTGGTTTTAGAGTAAATAATTAATTACCATCATTGCCCGCCGTATAGTGGCAGGCGGCCTCTTTGTTCAAAGTCTCTCGGCAAAGCGGCCGCTGCTTGGCTGAGGTTGCCCTGCTGCAATTTTCCATTCCGTGCTTTCTCGCGGTTATTAACATTTTCCTCTCTATTTTTGTTCACAAGGAAGAGATACTTGCAGGGTTCACCATAAACAGGAATCCTAGCAACCGTGCGAGAAAAGACTACTGATTCATATGAAAAATCAATAACATGAGGAAAATATATAATGCAGAGAAAACAGGACACTCCAGAAATTTCTGCTTCTTCTTATTTAAGTGAATAAATAAATATTTCAAACTTAAAACATCTGCCCAATTCCAAAAAAACAATTTGTAAAGAATAAAATTACGAAAAGCTTTTAAATACAAAATTAGTGATAATATGTTTTTAGTTATTCAACTTTAATTGAACCTAAAAGACTAATCAACTTTGATTTATTTTGTGAAAGGGTTTGGTAATAGATTTTTTACAATAATATGCTTGAGTACACGTGATTTGGGTTTTATTAGCATATAATTTATGCAGAGTCGAATAATTCAAAAGAATAGACGTCTGCTAGATTTGCAGACTAAATCAGAATGCTCTCATACATTATTTGGTGTTGTTGCAATTTGCAATCCCAAAATAATATTATACCTAAGTGCCTTCTTCATACATTATAATATAAGGAGGCGGAAAATCTCTGTTTTAAGAGTAGTGGAATACACTAAACACATACAACAAAAGTGGAAAAAGAGATAAGAGTAACACATTTCAAGTTCTTTATCTTGCAAACTTAGCGACCACAACAACTGCCAGATTGAACAGCTTCGGCTAGTAGGTGTGTTTGCTCCTGTGTTGCTTGGCAGCGCGGGAAGATCCTCCGGCACCATGATCACGCTTCTTGGCCCTTTCATGGCTGCAGATGGTAAAATTATTAAGTTGGCATAAATCAATGTTAATTGCTGGACAAGTTTCTCTTTAAGTTATGTCAAGAACAAATCTTAGTAAATATAACTCAACAAAAATATCAAGTAAGGTTAAAATGCATATGTATTAGTAAAATTATGTAAAAGAATATTAAAATAAATGTATAAATAAAACAAACGTAAAAATAAAAACAAACCTTGTTTGAGATTTGGAAGTAGATGGGCTTGTCTTAGGATGTCTTACTCTTTGGGAAGTGCTTCAATTTTTAATGTAAAAATAAGAAACAAAACAAATTTTTTGAAATAAAATTCACCTTGGAGGGGGAGCAGCCAATGCAAGTTGCTCCCTGTTCCCAGTATCTTCAGTCACGTCTTCAATAGTAACTCCACCGTAGTGGGCGATCCTTCTTTGATTCGCACTACTACTGCGCGGGTATCCCCTTGTAGCTGATTGCCACTCGTTATTGAACTCCTCGGTCTCATCTAAATGAGCTAAAGGTTTTTAGAAATTCTTATATAAAAAAGTTTTAACTGACTGACCATCAGAAAGGTTGACGAGCTCTATGTGTTCCTCTCTTTGTCCAGTCCGTGTGTTTTGTCTCTGTTCAATGATGTGCGACCTTTCGCCAATGTGGTGTCCGATGGCCATTTTCTTGGTGCCCGTCCTCGAGTCTGACACAGTCTTTGTGGTTTCCTTGACTCCGCCTGGAGCTGCTTTGGTGGTTGAGGTGGCTTGGTAAACTTGAGGGCGCCCGTCGGGTCCGATCGTCATTGAGGTCATCGAGGATGAGCTGTACGATAGACCCTGAAAGTCACAGACCAAATTTTAACTCTGTGCAATTTAAGCATGGTGATTTGTTTACAAAACCAAAATGTGTTAACAATTCAAGAATTTCTTACGTTGTTTCCTGCGTCCATCATGAAGGGATTCATCATTCCTGGACCGGGCCTACCTCGGGGCATCATCTGTCCACCTCCCATGCCCATCAGAGGGCCGCCGAGAAGGCCAGGGAAGCCCATTCCGGGCATCCGCATGCCTCCCATCATGTCCCCAAAGGCGTCTGACATGACGGAGTTCATCATCGCATTCATTTGGTTCATGGCCCTGGAGTGAAACCTGAAATTCAAGGGCGATGCTGGTTTAGTTCGATTTGGCAGTCACAAACTCGTTTTGGTCCTTCTCGGAACGCAGTGGCCGGAAAAGGCGAAAGATCGTCTTTCAAGCTTAAAACGGGCCGGATAGAAATAACTCACCCAAATATTGGGTCGTCGTCGAGGTCGCCTCCCAACATATTGAACATTTTAAGGCCAAAGTTTGCGAGAATATGGATTTATAAACAGCTATGTTCTTGCCACACAGCTGAATTCGAGGTCTAGTTGGCTGAAATGGAAGAAAGATGAAAGTTGTTTTGAGGACTTTTACGGGCAATCCTCCTCGCACCAAAAAATGAGGTTACACAAAGGAGCGCACTTACTGTTAGCGGGAACATTCGAATTCCAATGCTCGAATGCTCCTGTAAAGGAGAATTTAAATCTTCGCGCCTTTTATTTTCGATTTTACAAATCTTCCATGTGGATTACACTTTGTATCTAGAAAATTCTGGAATTCTCTTTCTTTTTATCAGTAAAAAGAAATAAATTAGCCAATGTAGACGACAAAACGTTTATATGACGACAAATTTATATTGTCGAATTTTACAAACAAATAAAATTACTCACATTTTTTAGGTTTTTTTTTATTTTCAAATGAATTGCTTGCAACTCCCTTATGCACACCCCAACTACTGTAAAGACCTCCTGGAAAAGTCTTGTTGTCCCCACCATCGCTTTGTTTTCAATTTTCAATGTCAAACATTTAAGGGGGAATTAGTGTGGTTAGAGTTATTGGAAACCCTTCTTTTCACATCTGCTTTCCCAAATATTAAAAAATTTGTGAACTTTTTTTCAAATGAATCATCTCCTCTGGCCTCGCGAACTGCGCGGCGCGCTGCTCTGAGCATGCAACTCTGCGATCTGGAGTTTTGGCTAATAAATCTTTCTATACGCCCTTCAATCCGTTTTTAGTGGCATCAATCGAAAGATTAATGATTTTGGTAACAGAAAATGTTCATAGTAGCACATATTCGTCGATAGTAATTAGCCAGGAGTTCAAAAACTATATTTATTTTGCCGTGTGATCGAACAATATTGAGTTTTCTCAGTGAATAAATTGAAAGCGGTTATATTTTAATGTTTTAACCGGTAGCCTATACTCTCAACTGATTTTTCGTACCCAGAAATATTCCTTTTGCGTGTCCTAAGTAAGAAATAATCGGTTTTTCTTTCGGTGAAAGTGCGGTGAAAAATTGGAATAAACATCCACTTGGCAACACCGCATTCGTTTTCTCGCTTGCTCTTCTTGCCGGCCGCCCCGTTTCATTTTGTGGAGGGGAGGCCTGCCGTCGGGCAAGAGCCGCTCGTTTTGATAGACTTTTGCGCGAATGCAATATTTTTTTATAACGCGTTATATTTAAGTATTCAAAATTTCAGCGTTGAAAGAAAATTGAATCATGTATTTTTTGATATGCTTGTTTTAAATTAATTTTGACTAGGAGCGGAGTTATTAACGTTTCCGCAAGACTTTTGTTTTTTTAATTTAAAAATTAGAAAAAAAATTTTAAACATAAAAACCCTTGATGAAAAATGTTGCCAATTAAATTTCCTACAATTTCTTTCACAGGCTTGATGACGTCAGAATTTTTATTACATATGTACGGAAGGCTCAAAGTCAAAATATAATTTTTTAACATAGAAAAAAAATTTTTAGAATTTTTTTGAGATAGCCAATCGATTGGAAATTTAATTTTAACTCTGGAATTCAAATTTCATCAAAAAATATTCAGCCGTTTCAAAATGAGAAAGTTATATTTGATGGCACCTCAAACTGCTTTTGAAGACGAAGGCGGCATCAGAGCGCTCATGAGAAAGCAAGCTGCAGCTTAAAAACGGCTCAATATTTTTTCATGAAATTTGAATACCAAAAATAAATTTAAATTTCCAATCGATTGGCTATCTCAAAAAAATTCTAAAAATTTTTTTTCTATGTTAAAAAATTATATTTTGACTTTGAGCCTTCCGTACATATGTAATAAAAATTCTGACGTCATCAAGCCTGTGAAAGAAATTGTAGGAAATTTAATTGGCAACATTTTTCATCAAGGGTTTTTATGTTTAAAATTTTTTTTCTAATTTTTAAATTAAAAAAACAAAAGTCTCGCGGAAACGTTAATAACTCCGCTCCTAGTCAAAATTAATTTAAAACAAGCATATCAAAAAATACATGATTCAATTATCTCTCAACGCTGAAATTTTGAATACTTAAATTTAACGCGTTCTGAAAAAATATTGCATGTGCTCAAAAGTCTATCAAAACGAGCGGCTCTCGCCCGACGGGGGCGTCGCTGGTTGCCACCAAATGAAACGGGCCAGCGGCAAGTGTTGTTTCGGCCGCGTACGTGTCGGCGGCGCACTAAAACGCAAAATAAATGTCACCAGCCGATTCTGCAGTATGTTTTACGTGATTAGTGCATTCCCAGAGCTCAGAAAAAGCAAATTGATGGACTCGATCGCGTGCCGTTTTCGCGCCTGATTTTAAAACACGAGCTACAGCGCCACGCGCGGCGAGACTTATGAACTAATCTACCACACTAATTCCCCCTTAAAAGTAAACAAAAAGATCGTTCTGTGCGAATGCAAAATTGTTAGATTACATACAACTGCAATACATAATGCCGAAAGTCAAACGAAAACCGGTTAAGCTTTGCGATCGGAACATTGCAAATTCGTCTGCTGGGGGAACGTCGTCGTCTGCTAATGCATCTGAACAAAAACAAAATGCAGGTATGAAGATTACATAATTTTTGCCGGCAAAAATCAATTACTGGTATGGGAATTTGACATCTCTGTTTTTCCATTTCAGCAAGAACTCCCAAAATTGCTATTTTTGACATGCCAAAAGGACTGGACGAATTCTTAGATGACTGCAATTATTATCTTTCAGTCAAGACAGACAACGCCGAAGTTGAACCCCAGCACTATAACCTGGGGTCGTTGCTTCTTAAACTGGCGGATCCTTTCAACGTGAGCCTTTTAGACAAAGTAGATGAACTGTGGCTGTACGTTAGTGCAATCCCAGGCCGCAGTTTCATTTATACAGAGTGGGTGGAAGATAACGAAGAGCTGAAACAGAATGTCAAAAAAGCAGTTTTCAGCCGCATTGATGAAAGCACCGACCTGTCGTTTTTGGCTGGTGAGCAAATCTAACCAATTCTATTTTTACAATGAATCACGATCCCATTATACTTCCAGATGATCAGCCTGGCAAAATGATTCGCTTTGTCTTGAACCCTGTCACCGACCAAGTGCAGTTGGTCATCAAAATTAGTCTCTTGGATTCCTACATCAGCACAGACAACCCGTCGGGCATGCAGGTCAAAAGCAACAAGGGCGTGCAGAACGTCATGAAGCACTTTTACAACGTTGAGATTCCTCCGATCAAGTTTCAGCGTGAGGAGCGCAGTTCCGTCAAGCATCTTGATCTACTCTACTCAAGCATCAAACAGTTCCACCAGGCCCAGAATTCTCCCACAGATGTCCAACATAAGGAAATAAAAGTGCAACTCAGGCCCTACCAAGTCAATTCGGTCAACTGGATGCTACTAAGGGAAAGACTTTTGCACGAAACATCGTCGGAGGAGCTGCACCCTCTCTACCAGGAAATCGTGACGCACACGGGTGAAGTTCTTTTCTACAACAAGTATCTCGGGACGTTTGTTAAGAAGAGGCCAATTGTGAAGCCACCAACTCCTGGTGGCATATTGGCTGATGAAATGGGCCTTGGAAAGACGGTGGAGGTGCTGGCTTGTGTCTTGGCAAACCCTCGGCCAATGGAAGAACTCAAAATTGTTGATATTGTCGATGAGGTGAGAGGAAAATTATTTTTGTGCCCAAAAAATGAGCAATTGTAAGAACATTTTCTAGATTTTCTATTATTTACCCCAGTCATGAAAATTAGACAGGTGATGCAAATACCATAATTTCAAATTTAATTTTTCAGGATAATGTGCAGGCATACAAACCTGCCAATGCATTTGATTCATCGGCTGAAACAATTATTAAATCTCCAAGGAAGTCGAAGATCGATGCCAAAATTGATGTCATGTTTCGCAGTGAGAGTAAAAAGTCGGGCTCTGTAAGTAAAAAGCTTTTTTTCTTTTTTACTGCAAATTTAATAAATATATCCAAATTAGGCTTGCAGAAAAAGATCTTTGTCAGAGATGGAGGTAGAAGAGGGAACGGACGAGTTGCAAGTTAAAGAAGAACCCCAAGGAAAAGAAGATAAAACAGTTGTGCCGAGAAAAAAGGTTAGATTTTCTGATGAGATCAGTCTGGTCCCAAGAAAAGGCAAAATCAGAGAGTTGCCTGAAGAGCCAGAAGATCTCCACCTGAAATCCATCATCAAACCTTTTGAGAAGCCAGAGAACCTTCCAGTGGATGACAAAGCAATAAGAGATATGGTTCACAAGGCCAGGAAAAAAGCTCGGGAAGAAGCGTACATGAAAGAACTCTCAGCCTATTCAGCTGTGAAGCATTTGCAAAATAATAAAAAGCGTCATTCTGGCTTATTTGAAGGAGAAATCGAGCGCAAGTCCTTTTTCGAATGTGTCTGCGGAGAGGTCGGCAGCACTGACATGTATGATAACGCAAAGGTCAAATGCACTGAATGCGGCATAATTCAACACAAGAAATGTGTACGCTTCAATGATGAGAAAATGGGTGCTTACTTCTGTCCTCATTGCAACGTTCGAAGACCACTGGTTGAGTCAAAAACCACCCTGATCGTCGCACCAGCGGCCATCAGCCAGCAGTGGATGGACGAGGTCAAGAAACTTGTGAGCGAGAGTTCTCTGCTTATAAAATTCTACAAGTAAATGAATTATATCTATGGGTTTCAGTTTTTCTTAATTATAAATTCTCTAGTGGAGTTTTCAGTGATGGCTACTATCAGCCTCAATCATTTGCTGCTTTTGACATTGTCATCACTACCTACGAAGTCCTCAGCAAGGAGCTTGACTACGTTGATTTGCCACATTGCAATGCGGTGGATGGAAGGAGGTTCAGAAACGCCAAACGATACACTTCCCTTCCCTCTCCATTACCCTGTGTGCAGTGGTGGCGTGTCTGCCTTGACGAAGCTCAGATGGTTGAGTGTACAACTACAAGATCGGCAGAAATGGCCTTGCGACTGAATGCAGTCAACAGATGGTGTATTACTGGAACACCAGTCCAGCAATCCCTTCAAGGTAGTGACAGTGACACAATGTATTTCTGATTGATTTATTCCCAAAAAGGTTTTAAAAAACCTCTTTGTGAGAAAAAAAATTTTATTTCAATTTAGGTACAAAAGCATTGCAGAATTTGTAGAAAAAAATTAATAATTAGATTTTTTTTATTCTTTCAAAATACTTATCTTTAATATTTCAGATCTGTATGGCCTGGTGATGTTCCTTGGCGTTGATCCTTTCTGCTTTGATATGTGGTGGAATGTACTTGTCCAAGGCCCATTTATCACCGGCAACCCAATCCCACTCTGTGAGCTAATCTGCCCTCTGATGTGGCGCACAGCAAAGGTTGACGTTCTTGATCAAATCAATATTCCACCCCAAGTGGAGGAAATCCATTGGATCAATTTCTCACCAATTGAAGAGCATTTTTATCGCCGGCAGCATGTTGAGTGTGGGAAAATGGTCCTGGGCCGCATCTCGCAGCAGCCGAGCTTGGACCTTCGGTTGCAATCTTTGCCCAAAGACGTTCTTGATAAAATTCTGAAGCCTCTGATCAACCTTCGACAAGCTTGTTGCCACCCGCAAACTGTGAAAGGAAAGTTTTCCGTGGCCAACGCTCACAGCAACAAAACCATTACCATGCAAGAGCTCATGAAAAATTTAATTATAAAGGCAAAAACGGAGTGTGAAGAATCACTTCGCATGATCATCTCGTCTCTGAATGGTATAGTTTTTTTTATTATTATTTTATATTTTATTAATTAAAACTAAACCTTCCAGGGCTTGCTGGTCTTAGTATTATTCAGGAAAAATGGGCTGAAGCTGCACAATACTACCGGGAGGTTTTGACTTTTGTCGATGAGAACAAAGATAAAATCAAAGCCGACAAACTTCAAAGGATTCACACCTTGCGAAACTTGAAGGAGCTTTTGGAAAGCAACCATGAGAATGTTATAATTAGAGAAAGTGAATTAAATTTGGATAAAGATTCAGAGCAGCTGGAAGACGAGTATCTTGCCAAGTTTATTTCGACTGTAAATAGTATATTCACTTATTTAGTTTTTATATAAAATAAATTTTTTGTTAGGTTGATAATGCCAAGCAATCTTTGCTCCCGTTGTCAGCCAAGGTAACTGAAGCTGAAAAAGAGCTAGTTTTGGAAGAAGCGTGGTGGAGTTCGGTACTCACATTGGCTGCAACTCTTGACGACGAGCAAGAAATTGTGGAAAGAATCCGACAGACAATTGAGGGTTTGAACAAGAAGTCGCCTAAGGAAACGAAGATAAAAATGAACCAGTAAGAAATTGGCTTTTTTATTGTTCTTATAGCTATTCAAATTTGATTTCAGATTCAAAAACTTAATTGCTATTGAAGCGACTCTTCTCCACAACACAGAATCTTTGGACAAGGAGCATAAAAAAGTTCTGAAGGATATGAAAAAAATTCAGTCCATGGATGCTCAATCTTTGGTGAATGAAGCCGTCGATTGTCACTTGAGAACCATTCTCACTGATGAGGTCAAGAAGAAGAAAAATAAGTATGCTAATAACTAAATTATCTTGCCTCAAATTCAAATCATTGAATTTTTAGGTGCAAACTTTGCCTTGTGAGTGATTCATTCAAAAAATATGAAAAGGTTCTCTTCAGAGAAGTGACTTCCAAGGACAGCTATGAACATATGGATCTTGATGATGTTCGTATTTTTGGGCAGCTCCAGACAATTGTTTGGGCGGCTGGAGACACCGAAAGAGTTCTAAAAAGTAATTTCATTTCATCATTGCATCTAACAATAAGTTAATTTTTAAATCTCTCCTAATAGCATTGCATACTTATGCCAAGCTGAAAAACGTTGACGAAGATTGGATTAAAGACGGAGCAGCACAACTAAAGTTAATTGATGCTAAGAAGAAAGAATTTAAAGTAAATAAAAAAACTACCTGATATTTAAATTAATTCAACACAATTAATTAGAATCTGAGAAGCCTATGGAGTCAAATCAACGACTACATATCAGCTCTGGACGAACTCAACATGTGCAAACTGCGATTCCGTCTTAGATACGAGAACGAGCCCTTGGTCAAGAATAAGCCCAGAAAGAAAAAGGGAAACCCTGATTTGGGCAGCAATATGCAGAATAAGGTTGAGCACATTTACATAATTGAAGAACATGAGGTGGAACCGCAGAGTTTGCGGCTTACACTGGAAAGAAGTGAAGGCGAGAGAAGTCTGCGCCGTCGAAAAGGCCAACTGCAGTACCTGCTCAACCTTGAGCAAAATGACATCGCCATAGCTGGAGGGGAAAATCCTGAGCCGTGTCCAGTCTGCAGGAAGACTCTTGGGTCTCAAGTAAGCTTTTTCTTAATTAGAGACCACTTTTTGCAACTTTCGGTTTTTACTTATAGTGGACTGTTTTACTTTGCGGACACTGCTATTGTGTCGAATGCTTGGAAGAATTGAAGCGCCGCCGAATAAACAAGCGCATTTTGAAATGCCCCATTTGCCGGGAGGACACGGCTTCAGGTGAAATCTCTTACATCAACACCAAGATGCAGCCGGAAATTGATGCTAAGAAAAACGAGCTTGACGAGTTGGAGGACTTGGAGGCGATAAAAAAACTGGGTCGGCAGCAGTCTGCGAAGGCCGAGGTGATTGTTCGGGAGATTAGGAAGATCCTGAAAAAGGACCCAACCGACAAAATCCTTATCTTCTCTGCCGTAAGTGTTATTAGGATCTAGGTACAATGCATATTTGAATTGTTTTTGTAGTGGGTGAGCATGTTGGACGTCCTGCAATCAGCGCTGACTGAAAATGACATTTCTTGTGCACAAGTCAAGTCGGGCAAGAAGTTTCAAGAGGCAATTCAACTGTTCAAGGTAATGTGCAAGAAGCAGAGTTGCGGCGTTTGACCCTTGTTTTTGCAGGACCCGCTGAAGAAAGTGACGGCGCTATTGTTGCCCGTCTCGAGAGGCTCAAAAGGCTTGAACTTGACTGAAGCACGGCACGTCTTTCTTGTTGAGCCTATTTTGAACCCCGCCAGCGAACTCCAAGCGCTTGGCCGTGTGCACAGAATCGGCCAAAACAAGTATTTTTTTTTCACTTTTTCGAAGATTTTGCTCATATTAAAAATTTAATTTATTCCTCAGGGAGACAATTGTGCACAGATTCGTCGTCAAGGGAACCATTGAGGAGCGGATGCACATTGTGCTGAAGGCACACCAGGGTCACACCCAGGTCGAAGAAGATCCAGTCACCCTGAGGGATTTGTACAACATGTTTGCCTCTCAACAAGACACTCCAGATTCTCAAGAGGAGGAGAATGATGATCTGCATGATATGGTTGTGATCTAAGTTGATATTTTTCCATAAGTATTCACAGATAATTTCTGTAATAAATGTAAACTTAGGTTAAATAAAATCTAGTTAACGTCCTAACTTATTTTTAGCTTGGTGAAGTGTCTCAATAAATTTTGAAGCCAAAGTGAATTTTATGAAGTTTATTTTCAACTTTTACATTTCTATATAAATTGCCAACATATTCCTTCATTTTGTTTTTTTTCACTATCATGTTCTCTTTAAATAATTATTTAACACGCCTTAACAGATAGTTCCATATAAATTACAAAATGCAATTTCCTCTTTTTTTATTAAGTATAAACCTCACTTTACAGAGTGCGGCCGTGTGTATGTTAAAATGTTTTACTTTTTTACGTTTTAAAATAATATACAGAATTTTTTTTCTTTTGACAACACCAAATTTCCTTTTGCCATTTAGGTTTTTATTTGTATTGTTATTTCATATTCTTGTTAAATACAATAGCAAATAATGCTCTTTTTAATTTAACATTGATGCACAGTAAATCGGCGAGAAGAAATCAACCAGACCAAAAAAAGCACTGATTGCCATTGAACAGGAGACAGAGAGGATGAAACAAGTATTTTATTTTCGCGACATTTAACTCCGTGATGATTTTTTTTTTTTGCCTTGCGAGTATGTTCAAATAAGTGAGCAAACGTCACGTTATTATCCTCCAATACACGTATGTCAACATGATAAATGCAAATTTTCCAACAACCTTTACTTGATAACTTTTTACGCGTTATAAGATGCAAACAATAACTTTTTACTTTTGAGTATCTCTCTGATGTAATTAGTATAATTGCTTTTTGTGTGATTAGAGATGTGTTGACAATCTGAGTCGAAAAATGAAATTATGTGACAATCAATTTCGCAATCTCGTCAATGATTAGTTTGTGATAATTGTTTGAGACATAAAACATTACTCGTCGACAGGCACCTACAAACACATAATTATTTTATGCACTCCTATCTAATCGATTAAATCAGTAGCAGCGACGATTTGGTTAAAAGCAAGTCCGCGAGTTTAGAGATTGAGAGATTTTTTCGTATTGAATGAAACATTTTTTGCCAGATTTTGTTTAGCCACGCCACAGCCCCAAATAATTTTCAGATTTTAAAGTTTTAGGATTCTGACTGATCAAGTGAGTGAATTTTGCCAACAAACCGCGCTATAGACAAGAACTGCTGACTAAATTTTTCTTTAAAGTTAAATCCTTTTTTTAGATTATCTTCTTTTTAATTCCATCTTATTTAAGTTTCGTTAGCATATAATTAACACAGCTTGTTAAACACCTGGTAATGCATAATAATAATGATAACAAACACTTTTTATTATTTACGTTAATTTTTCTTAAGGTATTCTCTTTAATGTTTTGACACTTCTTTTTTTCACCTCACCTCTCCATTTCATATTAAAAATGATTGTTAACAATGAATTATTTTTGGCACATGTACCCATTTTCCAAAAACTTTGCACGCGTTTTTTTATTTTTATTTTTGCTCCTTCTTTCGCCCTCGTAAATTTGTTCTCGGGTGATTTCGATTTAATTCCCCTCCAACCAACAATTCCAAATATTTTAATATAGTTCGTGGATTTCAACATTTTTCACATCCAAAATCAATCACCACCGAGCACTCAATAAAAACGCAATTAATTTCAAATTTTCGTGTGCATAACAATTTGATAAAAAAAACGTAGGAAAATTTTTTAATTTTACAAATTTATCTCAATCAAATAAGCTGTATTTAATTATATAAGTAAAGCGCACTAATGCTATCACAAATCTTTTTCCAGTTAGCAATTGCAAAGTCGGAGCTCGTCAATGAAAATATAATTTAACCAAGGAAAATAATTAATTGCGCGCAACACCGTTAACTTTCTTTATACAGGAAGACCCAATTTGCTTATTTCCGTAAAATACTTTGTGCTGATTGGCAGTGACTCGCACTTTTGTTATCATTGTAGCGGGGGAAAAAATTAATAACAGTAATTTCAGCCAAACTCTGCAACTGCTCCGGTATATTATATATTTAGTTGAAAAATAAATATAATCGAAAAAAATTATTAATTCCAAATTAAATGTTAAAATCTCACATTCTCACTTGAGTCACACCTGTACAATTTTTTAGTGTTAAAAATGAGCACAATACATGATCAAAGTCTCTTGATTAAATCTGCGGCTCCCAACAACGCACGGAACGAACGTGTCCTTTTGTCCAAAAAGTGTCAAATAGAAGTGTGTGTTTTTATTCAGTGGATTTGAGCGTTTGATATATATAATTTTAAATTTCTTTATCCAGTACGAGACAGGACAGCCGGCTGCTGCTCTTCTTCATTTTTTTATTTATTGATTTTTTTTAAATTTTTCTAGACACTGTCCACGCTGCTGGCGTAGTGGAGTTCGGGGGCGTCGCACACGTGTTGCATGCTGCGCCGGCTGCCGGCCAGACTGGGCGGAAGACTGCCCGCCAAACTCGGGGGCAGGCTGCTGGGGGCGGCCAGGTTGCCGATCATGCTGCCCGCCAGGCTGCCGGCCAAACTACCGCGGTAGCCGACGCCTGGGGAGCCGCGCTGCAGGCGGCGCCGCCGGCTCTGGCGGCGCCGGCGCTTGCGTTTGCGGTGACACCAAATGCAGAACGCCAGGATGAAAACGACGGCACCTCCGATGCCCGCTCCGAGCATGGCCAGCGGCTCAAAAGGCGGCTCCGTGTGACCTGCGGGACAACGCGCCAACATAGCACGCAATTTTTAGTCAAACTTGTCGAAATGGCAGGTTGGACGACGCGATTTTTTCCATATATTTAAAAAAAATAAAAATGTTTTTGGCACTGGACGTTTATTGCACATTAAATTTATTGAGACCAAATCGAGTTTTAAAGCTTGTTTAATCGGTGAGGATTTGTTAGAAAAATTTGAGATTCTTCACATATAGACAAATTAGTTGAACTAAAATTTTTTGTAAAAGTGTTTGAAGAACGATAGATAAAAATTTGTGGCAAAATTTCACATACATAATTTTGGAAATTTTTCAGCTTGATTTGACTGCGCTAGCTAACACATAATATTAAAATTAGTTTGAATATTTGAATAAGAAAAATTGCTCTCTGCACAAGCTGCAAACTCGATTTGGTGTCGGACGTGTTTGCTCTACGCAGACCAGGAAATTACTTATTGATTTTTCATTTTTGAACCCGCGGCGAAAGATAAAATTTGCATCTCAAAAGAGCGGAGACGGGCTTGGGTTCGCTACAAAAGACTTCTTCTGAATGCAATATAGAGACGAGCGAATGAGCATGATTTTTAGTTTTAGTCGTTTTAGAGATAGTTATGCAACTGTTTGAACGCATCTGCTCGGCGTGTTGCGTCCCTTATGTACTCGAGGTATAATTTTAATAGGCCTCTGCAGTAATGATTTTTATTATCGATTTCAAAAAAACAAAGAATTATTGATATTTAACAAAATTTTAATCGCAATTTTGATGTCTGGTATGAAATATGAAATTATGTGTTTATAATAAAAATCATTAATGAAGGACTTTAATTTGGGGAATATAATCAGATTTGTACAAGAAAAGATTCATTCCTGGTTAATTGCTTTTGAAGAAGAGGGTGAGAAATTTCATAGTAGCGTCCAGTGCCAAGGGGTCCTTAATCCTAATGCAAAATGCAGTGCTCATCAATTCATGCGTCATGCTCAGCAAATTAAGAGAAAATATTAAATAGAGAGAGAATTGCAAAGTTGTGCCATGCGTGCGAATGCATTATCTCATTCTCAAATATAAATTTATCAAGTGTCCATTCATCGATCACTTTTTTTTCAGATAAAAAGCTACATCTCGAATTTTTCTGCTGGTGATTATAATTTTTTTCAATTTATATTGTGTCCTAATGACATATAATATGAAAATTATGTACACAAATAAAACTGACTAACTGTGATAGTAGTTTAGAAATTTGTCCTGAGGAACAGAATCTAACGTACAAGGACAGAAGGCGAAAATTGGATTGAATTTTGCACAATTAATCCAACAAACACAAACATCGCGAATAATATCTTTTGAATGCAATTTTTTTCAGTGCATCGAAAAGACAGCTCGGTTTTGAAAGAAAAAAACGAAAGTCACAGACAAAGAAAGAGGTACTGATATAATATTGTTATACAGATATATAGAGAAAAATCATAAAATCAATCATCTGGCCACTGGTTTAAATATGGTAATAAGAAGCGATATATATAACTTTAGATAGAGATATATGCAAATCGCTGGTGTTTACCTCGTATTTATTGTGAGGAGACAAGATTGTGAGATTTTGGAAAAATAGCAGGCGCTTTGAATTGAGCTGGATTCTTTTTATCGGGGTCTTTTTAGGTAGTAGCAGTAGTAGTAGAAGTAGTGCAAAGTGAGCTGTTTGTTACAATTTTTTTTGTTCATTTGGATTTGAGAGGGAGAGAAAAATGTTTGCTCTGAATAATATCGCGGCAAGCATTATTCCTTCGCTGGCATCGTCAGTGTGAATGTGTGTGAGTTCTAGAGGAGGGAACATCACGAGAACATGAGAAGAAAGCAAAGACCACATAAGAGGACAAGGCTGTCTGTGTTGCACGATACTGGGGAGGCAAATGCACCACCTGCGGCATCAATCAACACACACAATAATGAGAATCATTCAATTCACAACACCCAGGCAATATATATAGAGATAAATTTCTTAATTAATATTAAAAATGAGAGGTCTATTTAAATAAACAGGGATTTCAGTGAGGAATTATATAGAAGAGTCACCATTCGAAAAGGGAAAAATATCAGTGCAGTTTGATATTTAGTTTCAGGCAGCAGGATTCGATTTAGATTAAATTTTTTTTAGAGAAGAATTTTTATTGTATATATAATGGTTTAGAAAAGGATCGTCTCCTAGGAAGATATTTTCTCTTTGTTCGGTTCTGACAAAGAAGATATTGACGAAATGATCAGCAACGCTCGTTATCGTAAATGGGAGGGAAAATCTTTCTGCTGCAAACTGCCGGAGAGAAAACATTTTCGTGACTTTATTATGGTGGATTTCATTTCAACGTGGCCTCTAGTTGACTATCAAAATATAGCAATCTTTGCAGAAAAAAAAAATACTAACTAAAAAAATAAAAATTTGATTTTTATACATTTTTTTCTGTTACGAATAAACATAGAAAAGCCATTTTGTGAGAAATTTTTCAATAGTGACCAAACGTGTACAAATTCACTTTCAGTTAAATTTTTACTTGAAGCCCAATTTTGGAACTGAACACCTAGCTTTCTCACGAGAAGGTGTTTGGGAAAATGTAACTCGTCTTAAATTCAAATGTTGCTTATTTTATATTATGCTCCAGACAGAATTACATTTTTGACCCCAAGATTTCAGATCAAAGAAATTATTTAAAATGACATATAAAAAAGTGCTACTTTATTTGTTTAAGGAAAATATAATATAAAATATAATGAGAAGGTTTTTTACTATTTATTCTTTTGTTAGTTGCAAATAATATTATGTATTTATTGATTTTTACTTTGCGAAAGATATGACTCATTAGCATAATTAAATATTCGGGTCTTGTTAATTTTTGATCCTCAACTGAGATCACGATGAAATGAAATCCAGCATTCTTAAATCTGGGCCACTAGTCCTAATTGAAAACTATTTATATAAATGTGAAAATTCCATAACTCTTTCTGACTGAAAATACTGATATAATTTTTTTCTTTCTAAATTTGGAGATATAGCTACTGAAAGTATTGACCTATCGGCTATTGATCGATCAGTACAATGAGAGAACTGCTATCAATGGCACTCACTGTAATTAAAAGCTCCCCTTCAAAGATTTCGATGGGGGTGCTTTTAAGTACAGTGGAAGAGAGAAAATTCAATGCACACGACATCGAGAATGTCAGTCTGCATGCCAAAAATTCGAGAGAGAGTAATAATAGATTGTATAATTGATGAGTGAAAGTGAATAACAATTATGAATGAGCAGAGAATTTTGATATATGGGTAGAGTAATAGTAATTATGTATGTAGCAGGCTTTAGCAGCATTGCGTGGTCTTTTTTTCACACTTTGATAATAATATATCAAATTGGTTAGTTAGTAGGCGTGCGGCTTGCAAGTTTCTTGGAGGCAGTGATTTAAACCATTAATTTTTTATTTAATTTCCATAATTCTCAGTTTCAAATAAATTCATCTCTTATGGTTCTTTATTAATTTTAACAAATCGTGACAAAATGCAGAGTCTTATTATTATTAAACTTTTGATAAACGTTGGAATCATAAAGGAAAGAACCAATTTTTGCAGAAATTTATAATTTATTTGTAAAACTTTCAACCTATCCAATTACCAATTAGGATTCAAGCTTTAAAATAACAGAGTTTTTTTCCAAGAAACTTGCGCGGCCGCAGCAGAAATTAATGCAGAATGAACGGATCGCAAGAGGGGGTTAACGAAGAGAGAAATATATTGGAAAGTGAGTGCGGTGATGACTCACGTGTCAGCGATACTCACAGTTGGTCTCGTCCGAGCGGTCCTCGAAGCCACAGTTGTCGACGTTGTTGCAGCGGAGGCGCTCCGAGATGCAAAAGCCGTTTTTGGAGCACTGGAACTGGTCGCAGCCCGGCGACTCGGTCATTTCAGTCCACACGGCGCGGAAGCCGACGGCGCCGACAGACTTGTCGGCTGAAATAAAACTGATTCGCATCACATGGTTCTCGGAGGTGAACTGCGTCCGGTCCAGCGGCAGCTTCTCGCCGCACAACTCGAGCGGCGGGCCCTCGTTGCCGCGCCAGATGCGCACCACGGCCGCCGGGCAGCCGCGGTTCTGCGGGTCGCCCTCCACCGCGAACGCCTCAAAGTTGAGCAGGATTTTGAAGCGCGGCCGCACGCTCAGGTACCAGTTGCACGTGCGGCTCGCCAGGCCCCGCTCCGGACCCTCGTAGTTGTTCGGCCAGTTCGGACTCGTGATCACGCCGTACTCCTGGCTGCTCACGTTGCTGCCGCAGTCTGTTCCAAAATAACAAAGGTTGAAAATAAGTTAATTGAAAGTAAACAAGAAACCGGGGACCATGCACTCTTGCAAAATTTATTGGTAATTGAGATGAGAAAAGGACAAGAAAAGAAAAGAATATTTTACTAACAAAAAATTGTTTCCTCTTTTACTTTCATAAGTTGTAATTACTTCAATTATTCATCTTGCTTATTTCAATTTTCTTTAGAATTAAATCAATCAAATATAATTAAAAATACATTGACTCAATATAGTCATTTATAAGAATTTCTCCTGTTACTCCTGTTATAAATAGGTAATTTAAAGTGAGAAGAAGCAAAATATAAATGAAAATATTTTTTTATTAACTCAAAAATATATATGTGAGATTTTTCTTTTCATAAATACGCGATTAATAGGTAATTTTTAAATCGCAAGTTTTTTCTTATAAAAATAGCATAATTATGGGCTGTGTTTGAACATTTTAGTTTTTTCCCAGAAGATATGTGTTAAAAAGTTGGTCAATTTTTCCAACCTCATCATTATTTCAGTTAAAAAATCAGCTTAATTAATATGCACCTATTTCACCACAAATAAAATATTTTTTTTTCCAAATTTTTTAGTCTTAAATTGTTATTATTTACAAATAAATTAACAAAGACATAAATTTTTCTGAATTTGTAATTCTTATTTTAAAATTCAGAATAGAAGTTGGAAAATGTGACTGACCTCCAAATATTGATTTGGCCACTTCGAACATGTATCTAGCCTTGAAGCCGCTGAACACGCCTTCGTCGTCCGAGTGCAGCAGCACCTTGAGCCCGGTGGCGCCGCGATTGGACTCGACGGGGCCGGGCGCCGTCACGCCGCAGTACCGACCCACCAGTTTCTCAGTGCCGTCTTTGTACATGTTGTAAATCTCCAACCAGTCTTCTTGGCAGTAATGGCTGCGGAGGGACCACGCAAATTCATTAGCCATCAAGTGTAGTGAAAACAAAAGCAGCTCACCCGTAAGAGCCATGAGTGGTGTTGGCCGAGTCAGCTCTCACTTTGAAATGGTCAAAAACGATGTTGACCTGCTCGTTGGGAGTGGCAATAAAAATATAGGTGCAGTTTGTGCCTGAAGGGTAGTTGGAAGGATAGCGCGGCGAGTTGAACTCGCCCCTCTTACGGCTAGTGCTTCTGTACGTAAATGTACACGACCCGTCTGGAGCTGCAGTCCCAGGTATCCGGTATTCTGTAGAAAAAAAATAAACAAAATGATTAATATCTATTTAACAATTTCAATTTGCGTGTTTATTATTTAGTGACGCCAAAATGAATACAATTTTGACATATTTTGACCAGAACTTAATAACCCAGATAACGTTATAATTAAATTATTATAAATATTACCAAATGTTACTTGGTTAAAATTATATTGACAATACCAAAAACATCTTGAAAGATCAAACTGTATCATTTCTTACTTACTAACGGAGCATAATATATGAAGTTTTTAATTTATATTATTTATTGTTAGAAACAGAAAGTGTTGATAAAGTGATTTACATACATCAATCAATTAAGTTTTCTTTAAAATCTAAAGTTTACGATTTATGTTGCACAATGTAAGAAAAAATAAAATAAAATTTATTATTAAATTACTCAAACTCTGAAAACCGTTAAATGGATTGATTTTTTTATCATTGCTTTTTATTGTGTCAAACTAATACGCTAATTAATACATTTATGTTCACTTTATTAAAATATATTATACTTTAATTTAAAAATAATTGCTGATGCTGAAGCTTGCAATAAAAATTGAAAATAAAATAATTATCTCTATTTCATCCTCATTATAAGGTTTGATAAAAAGAGGGACTTTCAAATTAATTAGTGTTAATTAGTATGTAATAACCATATTATTATATTTTTCTGTGGCTTATTCCCAGATAAATAATAAAATGAGCAGAAAATTCCAAGGGTTAAAAGAAATTTTATATTCTAAAAATTAATTTGAAAATTTCCTACCAGTTTCAAAAGTGTACTTCGCTTTGAAGCCGCGGCCCTGCACTTCGCCACTGCTGAACACCATGACAAGTCGAGGCCCATCAGAGACAACCTGCGCCGGCAGCATCTCGCCACAGAACTCGTGGTCGTACTTGTCGTAGGCATCCATGGTCTCTTGGCCCTTCAGGTAGATCTTCAAGTAGCCGTCTGAGCACCTGCAATCAATCCCAATATTCAGCTCTCGATCACCAACTCTTCTCCAGAACTCACTCTCCGTTTTGGCCGCGTGGAATTTCGAACTTATCAAAACTAAGGCGCACCCTCTCCAGGTGCTGCATATCCTGCATGCCGTAGATGAAGTAGCGGCACACGATCTTCGGGATGTAGGGAAACGGGTAGTTGGGGCTGTACACGATCCCGCGCGATTCTTTCTTGCTCAAAATCTTCTGGTCGCACTCCGAGCCGCGTATATGCTCACCCTCACTTTTTATAAAATCTAAAACAACATTATAAAATTTATTAGAAAATAATTAATTGGTAATTTGAATTAAAAATGTATCTAGAATTAAACAGTAAATTTTTGTTGATGGGTGTGATTTTTAACATTTTCGTTTTTGTCAAACACAGATACTGCTGATTTTTTTTCCTATAGAGACATTCAAATTTGCATGTCTGCGTAAGAAGGAAAAAAATACGATAATGTTATTTTTCGCTTTCTCACAATCAACCCATCCAATCAGGGAAGTCTGGTGGAAGCACTCACAGCGCGCAGGGCCATTATATTACTGCCGATTATTATGATGTGACACTGGGCCATCGCATCTGATAAGAGCTCTCTGTCACTCACTTACACATTGTGACACGCCGAGCTCCCTTCCTCCGTCACCCATTTTCTTTCTTTCGCAACAAACTTGGCCCCGGTGCTGCCAGCAGCTTTCCCGACCCCGGCCAGACCTCCCATGTATATTTTTCTCCCCGAGCTAGCGGAGAATAATTTTGCCAATATAAAAAAAAGAAAGTGTCGGGGGAGAATTTGAATTTATCGATCGGCCGAGTTGAGACAGAAAATATCTCATACGCACCTAGTTTGACAAAACTCTCGCTGAACTCAAATATCCCCTTGAAGCCCCGGTTCTGAGTGTTGGCAGTTCTCTGAAGCGTGACAAACGAGACAAATAGCGACGACTCGCTCGAATAAAGCACCAGGTTTCGTTGTTGTCCACAGTAAGTGCCAATTGTAGCACTTTCATTAGTTAAGCCATCATAGACCTTCACATAGTCAAATGGGCAGCTGCAAACAAAAATAAAAAAAGAGATCAAACTTGGGAACTGAAAAAAGGTAAACACTTTTATATTTTTGTCGCATATAATTGGCCGGCAACTCGAAGGAAGAAGTTTCTTGGGCAAACTTTTGTTCCCCTTTTTTACGGAAACTTATTCTTTCTGGCTGCGCGTCCTTGTTACTGTCAAACGAAATGGAACGACAAAAATATATGCCCGTGATATGACGATTTTTGGCAAAGTGTGCAAAAACTTACTGAGGGCCTCCGAAGAACAAATCAAAGTCGCGGAACTCAAGTCGAACACGTTGGCCAGGCTTCCCAATGAACTGGTAGGAACAGGTCAAGTCCTTGGGGTAGACTCCTGGGTACGTGGGGGAGATAATGTTTCCTGTGCGCCTCACATCTGTGTGCACCGTGAATGTGCAAGGTGTGTTTGGCTCAGGGGTGCCCACTTCATATTCGGCTGCAGTGCACAAAAGCATTTTAATTCATAATAAAGTCATACTTTAAAAAAAATATGTTTAATTTTATATTTTTATTAAATGAATTTCATACTATTTTTCTGTTTTACAAAAAATTGTCAGTATATATATGCACTATTTAATTTTTTAAATTAAAACATTTAATATAGATTGTTATTGCATTAAAAGCGACAATTAATTCTTTTATGAGCTATGAGCGTATCTTTGTATGGCTCATCATTATAGACGATGGGTATTTTTCTGCTTAAGTATAAAATTAAATATTCCTCTATACTTTCTGTAAAATTTAAATCAGCTTATTTAATGAAGATTTTTTTCCCCTAAATCGTCAAACTTTCTAAATAATCTTTTATAATATAAATAATCATTATTATAAAATCAACGATACTTTTCTTAAAAATCATAATCATAATTCAACTTGTAAACTATTTTAAGAGCCACATAAAATAATTTCGAAAAAAAAAACAGTGAACATTGCTAAAGCAAAATTTCCCAACCGTATGCTTTGAAAAACAGACTCACAGTCATTGATGAAGGAGTACGTCCCTCCAAAGAGATCAGGGTAGGTCGCGTTCTTGTCGGTGAAGAATCCGAGGGCAAGAGTGCGGTAGAGCGAGATTCTCCTGCGAGGTGCGATCGGACCGCAGTAGCGTCCGCCAAACGGCGAGTTGATCAGGTCGGAGACGTTGCTATCCTTTATCTCGACGTACAGGTCGATGTACTCGTGGACGCACCTGCAACACACGGCGCCGGATGTAGCTTTTTGGCACGCAGCGATTGGCAATTTCCCGCGGCTGTGTGTGAGTGTGTGGGGTGAGTGAGTATATATTTTATGTGAGGAGGAGAGAGAACAGGGGGCCAAATAACAGGGGAGCATAGCAGAGTCATACATCATTGCCGCGCGATAATTGATTGGTAAATATTATGCATGTTATATAATATAGAAGACGCATGCACGAGCACGTTGATGAGAAAGAGCAGGTGCCTGAGTAATATGGTATATGATATAAAAAAATAATAATAATGAGAGGTAACTAACACACTATACATTTTTTCACGCAATTTATGTAATGAGTTTTTAAGCACTTGGATTTTTACTCCCTTATTAATGTAATGATCGATCCAAAAATGAGATGCAAAAATTCATTCCGAAAAATGCCATTTGCATGATTAAATATTTTCTAATTAAACTCTAATAAAATCTAAAATACAATTTAGATCGGCCTCCATCTGAAATGCAACCTTTGTTAATTATTCTATAAAAAATAAAATACGAAGTTGGTCAATGAAAATATGGAAAATCCCTGATGCGAAATGCAGAATATCTAGAATCGTGATATCAGATTTCAAGCTGGAAAAATCATTAGCAATAAAATTATTTAACTTGAATTTTAATAATAATCTAGCCTAACTCTTCTCCAAGACAAACTAAATTATGCTAACAATAATAATATTTTATTATTTTTCTTTATAAAATTCGATGTAATAAAATTATAATTGTGTCTACTAACGACATTATTTCTAATCAATGTGCACCATATTATCATATTATTGAGATTCTCCCAAAGTCTTTGCGAGATGGATAAAAATATTGAAGCAATAAATTTGTATCAAAAGTGTCCATTTTCTTATATTATCAGTCTTCAGAATTTAACATTAAATTTGAACAATATAAAAATTTAATTAAAATTTTCAAGTGATTATTAATCTAAACGATATGATTTTTTGTTGAGCCCAAAAGAGAAATTTGCTTTACAACCACTTGTTATTAAAGTTGGTCTGCAATTGATGTACAACTCCATTGTAACCATTGTTGAACTTAAAAACTGAAGTCTTCTCCAAAGTACAAAAGGTCAGCTCAGCTATTGAAATCAATATTAAAACATTGTTGCTCACTTGACAGCTTTTGTTCCAAATAAAATGCCCTTTTGGTCCAACATCCAACGCTGTACACCATATTGTTTATATAACAATGTAGCTCGGAGCTTCTGCTATGAAGCACTTCAGCACATTTTACTTGTTATTCAACTTAAAAATAGAGGCAGAAGTACAAAAATTTAAATTTCAAAACTTAATTTTTCAATAAATTTAGGGTGCCTCATTTTGAATTAAGTCACTGCAATGAAAAATGGTTCGATTGCTGTCTGTTAGCACATTTGTGAAAATGTAAACACACTACATAAGAATTGCAAAAATTTTTATTTTAGAGTCTTGCGTTATGGATAAGTTGCCACCATTTTATTTTTTAATGAATGCAACAATGTAATTTTTTTATTCTTGCTCTTATCTTTGAAAAAATAAATGGCGTCTCAACTTATCTTCTTCTGTTATCCATATCGCGGGGTATTGCACTGGTGCCTCAAAATTTCTCTTTGGAGCGGTTGGTTCTCTTTAATTAAAACCGCAAAATAAATCTGAGATCAAACTTTTCCATTTTTTTTCTTCAAAAATTCCTGATTTTTTTTATTAGAGTTGTTTCCCCTAAGCAATTGATCATAAGGTCCCGGCCTAAAAGCGTCACGAGGGAGCAGCGATAATCTGTCTGTGACAATCCCTCTTCACAAGACCCGAGGGACGCGTTTTGGAAAGACACAAATACGGATCTCTCTGTTTATGTCGTCCCAGACGGAATTTTCGAGTCTGCCATGAAAAGCAAAGCAACAACCAAAAGCTGCAATAGGTGTTTGGAATGAGAGAGGCGTATAGGTTTTAGGATAAGTCGTAAAAAGACTAAATTGATTTCTCTCTCCGAATCGCCTCACTTCCGATCGCCGTCAAAAATAATCTCGATTTTTCCGCACACGCGAGATGGAAAGGATTAATTCGTTAGAAAAGAAATGGTGAAAAATGCAAAGCAGGGGGGAAGATTTTTTTCTTCTCTATCTCACGTGAAAGACTTCAATCAGTTGTCATTTCGAGGTCGGAGTGTGCTGATTTAATGCGAGGCCCAAATATAACTGACAATGAGCGAGCGGAACTAGGGCCGTAGGTACGTAGGTCGGCTGCACGTTTGTGTGTGTGTGACGTAATCCCGGGGATCAATGAATTCAGTCAATCAGAACAATGGAGGCGCTGCAAAAGGTGCTAAGCCTTTTCATCGTGACGAGAGCGCGCCTGAAAACGCGAACAACAAACGCCCCGGGGGCAAACCGGCTTTTGACCAAACAGTCACGTCAGAGCGTTGAAGTGAATCCTGAACGTGACATTGGGCGTTATTCAAGGGAGGAGGTGGGAAAACTTTGGGGGAGAGTTTGTTGGAAAAAGTTTCAGTGATTTTGGAATTATTTGACTTAAGATTTTTTAAACCAAAAAGAATTAAATCTTATTATTAAATTAATATTTAAAAAGGGTAAATCCCACCTCTACTATCATTATTCATTATGAATTCATTACTTTTTTTTAATCAAAATCAAATTTGTTCTTACTTAATTTCAAATTTTCACAATCATTTAATGGTCATATGAATTTTATTCAAAAGGTATCTTTTTTAGAGTTTTTTTTTAAAGTTGGAGAGTAAATTGTATTTGAAAATTTGACATTTTTTTTTCAATCTGAAAACATTTGCATACTTTTAAAATCCATTTTTCAAGTCCTTTGTAAACGATTTAATAAAATTAAAAGGGAAAGACTTGTTTTTACTTCAAACTCTTGCTCGTGCTTGTGTTTTTGTATTTTTCTGTCTTCCAGGAACAGAATAATCCAGCGAAAATACTCGTGTGCTTCATGACCAAAAATCACGCAAGTCTCGTTAAATATGCAAAAATTGTCCCTTTCATCCTCGGCTCTTTCGTTCTGGGAATTAGCGCGTAAAGGTTATAAATGGAACAGGTTTCGTGATGTGAAAAATTTGTCGTTTCTATGTTACATATATATATTTAAATTATTTCTATATTTATTAGACACGCAAAAGCATAAAAAAGGGCAACCACCATGACAGGGCAATGATGATAATAATAAGCACGTGGAGGCAAAAGGAGGATAATTGAATGAATGAGCACATGACTGATTGGTGTTTTGGAGAATTTAGCCATTCCATGAAACATCAGCTGCATAATTATAATATAATTATTCAATCCAATGGAATATAACAAGAGAATAACTAATTAGATAATATATCACATGCTAATTATTAAAATTAATCGATTATTTTGTTATATTATGCCGATGAGCGATGGAGACATATTATAGCCAATATATATGAGAGTGAATAAAAGTATGTATGTAACTGAAAAACTGGTGGTAGCAGTTTGCAACACATTCAATCATTCGCCCAAGGATCAATAATAATTGTCATGTCAGAGAGAGCCTAAATAATCTACTTACGCTGGCAAATGTCCAATCGAAGATCCACTGAAATAACACATGAAAATCAAGTGTGATATCAGATAGTATAAATCACGGTGTTAGTGGTCTATCTCTAAGCCCCGGGGTTAAAAATACTTATACTGCAGCCTGAAAAAATTCGTGTAAATTTTTTAAATTATGCTGTACAGTTGTGCATTTTTTTCTGCTATCGATTCTTACTTGGTGGGGTGTATTATATAGCCTGAAGTGCAAATCTCCGGTATTATTTCCTCGAGTGCAAAATGTCGAGTGCGCGAATAAATATATATAGAGTAATATACACAATGTGCGGTTAGGACTAATAATAGGAGACGTAATGGCATCTGACGGTGCGGCATACATAAATGTCAACCGTGGAACGTCGCCGCAAAAGATAATTTTTTCGCCTGACTTTTGCTCTTGCACAAAAGAGGAGTTTGTGGACAAAACTAGTGCTACTTACTCTGGCGGCGTTCCTCGAAGTCCAAAGCTGGTGAAGCCGACCTCGACCCGCTGTCTGGGGCCTGCTATGAAGGTGTAGATGCACTGTCGAGACTGAGTTTGGTTGGTTGGGTTAAGGATGGTCGGCGCCTCGAAAGTGCCATTCTGCGGCGCGCCAGGCCGACTCACGAAGGTCCGATCGCACTCTGAAAGTTCACCATCTTGGCGTTAGCAAATGCGGAGGTGTGCAAACATACAGCAAAAGCGGCTAAACATCAATTTGGAACGAAGCAGTCGAAGTTTTAAAATGAGATATTTCTCATTTGTGAGACGTGAAATTAAAAGTATTAGTAAAAAGCTAAAATTTCCCTCATTATATTAGCCTTATTTTTTTTATCATTTTTTTGGGGGGGAAAATTCAATTTTAATTAAGGAGACTTTTGTTTTGAAATTAACATACTTATGCAGATTCCATTTCAATAATGCGCACAAATGACTTTTAATGGTGCAATATTTCAAAAAATTTAATTTTTTTTTATTAAATACCATATATTCTTAAGAATCTGTTCAGAAATTTACAAATTTTTAGATTCGCCAAGTATCTATTTGTTACAAATTAAAAATTAAAAATCAAGTTTCTGTACAACTTATATTTTAAAGCGATACTCAGATTCCAAGCAATTAATTTAAATTTCCAGATCAGCAATTGAAGTTAAATTAAAATTGAGATCCATGCAACCTGCGTGACTGCCGTGTGTTTGGGTTGCATACTTTAAAATGCTGAGCAAAACTTGAAATTACCGCTTTTTTACGGCTGATGATGAAATGAATATTTCAGCTATTAAAACGACACGGGCGCGAGAATGGATTTCTTTCTTGCTGTTGAATCAGAAATGCAATTTCCGATCCAGCAAAAAAAGTCGACTGCTTCCTTTGAACGAATTGGGTTGTGAGGCGAAAATGAGATGGGAGTAGATGATGTGGACAGGGTTTGTCGATGAATCAAAGAGAGATGAAACATGCTTTAACGGTAGGAAAGTTTTCTCTTGGTGGTGAAAAACGCCTTCATTCATTTGATCTGATTGAGGAAGACAGATTGAGAGAGAGAACGGAATTGCAAAGGGGCACACAAATTACGGGTTAGTTCTAGAGTCAATCTCGAGTGGCTAATCAACGTAGGTGGGGGTTTAAGCACTTGGAAACCAACTTACTATCTAGAGGTATCTAAACACATAGATAGAGAGAGCCCGAGACACACACACACTAGAATGAAAGAAAACATACTTGGAGCTTTAGTAGGAAAGGAAGGAGCGCCCGACGCTAAAGTGGAGGCTGCAGCCTGAGGGCCGTCCGCCGTCGCCGCAGAATTGAGCAGCTCTACTGAGACGGCGGCGGAGGAGGTGGAGGAGGTGCCAGTTATATTGCCCGGGTCCTTTGCCGCGGATACTGCACCGTCAGACAGAGTACGTGTGAGAAAAGTTCGAGTGTCCGGTCAGTCGGACGGAAAGGAAGAGAAATAATAATAGATTTCCTTATTGATATTATTGAAAAAGCTCTAGAAATTTTCTCGTGAGAGTGATTAATCGAAGGATATGGTTAGTTTTAATTCCTCAGATGGCAAAAAATTTCATTTTAACCGTTTTTTTTATAATTTTTCCACATTTTTATATAATTTTAAAAACTGCCCTTTGGAAATTGAGACTTTTTTTTACATAAAAACAACTTTGCTTGAGATTTCTTTACTTAAAATATAAGGACTCAATACCATATCTCCAAATGCTATACTCATTGTTGAAATTTCAGGCTGAATGTTTGTTTTTATCAATAAGGAGACCTAAAGAGGGATGAAATTATGAATTCACTCAAGCGCGTCCCTTTCCCTTGATATAGGGCTGATGCTTTCTCCCTGTGAAGATGTTTGCGAGTGTGTTTGACTTTGTTCGCCTCCGCGCATTATGGTAATTAGACTTGCTTTCAAAGTTGCACCAGACTTTAATGGAATCGGGTTTACGGTCCCGCTCTTTTGCTCTGTTTGTGAAACGCAGGCAGAGCAGCAGGCGACCCAACCCAATGCGTGCATTTTATCAAGCTGGCGTTTTTCGAGAGGGTGAATTATTTAAGCGACTAAACCCTGCGCTATTATGCTGAAGAGTGTGTTAGTAGGATAGGACTAGAGTGTCAAAATCAGCTTGTACTAAATCGCATATAAATTGAGAATTACTGAATCAGGAATTTCACCTCTATACATTTTAAAATTTCATATTTTCTTAGGAGCATAACAAATATTCCTGAATTTAAAGCTCCATATTTCCAATTATTAAATTTTATGGAAAAACAGAATGAAAATAATCAGATAAAAATGACCAAGTGAGCTTGAACCCAATAATTGATTAATTTACTACATACACCAGTAATAATTATTTATCTACGAGCTATGATTTATTTATATCAAGCATAATATAATTATTTTTTAATAATGTTGAAAAACTTTACTTTGATTACCTAATTTAAAATCAAGAATTATATTACTAAAATAAATTATGTAAAATATTTACATTTAAAAATCGGACTTTTTTAAATTTTAATAATTTAAATAAAACATTAGGAAAATGCTACTATTTTCTTTTGCAGTAATAAAATTAAACATAAACAATTTCCTTTAGGAATGAATGGCTCAAAATTGATATCTATTGATTTGTTTTTAACGATTTGCTCCTCTGAAGTCGTCTCGAGCCTCTTGAATATTTCGTAATAGCATCCTAAATTATTATATATTTTCTAGAACAAAAGCTACTTCCCTTACTCTCTTAAAAGTCGTGTGCAAATTAAAACGAGTGGCGCGCACGTGCCGTTGGAGAGATTCTGGTCTGCAGCATTTTGTCAATTTTATTCAATTAGCCTAGGTAAGAGGCTGCTCGAAATGCGCATCACGAACGAGAGCGGCGCCGGCTGGTTATCAACAATGCCTTTTAATTGGCAAGTGAAAGTGGCTCGCCCGGAAGAGACCGCGTGTTTCAATCAAGCGGAGAGAGCGAGAGAGAATTCTCATCACACCAGCCGGGGGCTCATGCCAGTCAAAACTGGAAATGGCCGCTTTTGCGCGTTAAGAGGCGACGGTCGTCAGGGGGCCGCTTGCCTGCTTTGCTGCCTTGCGAAATATTTTGCCTCATTAGTTGTTGCAAAACTTATTTCGAAATTCGCTCGTAATTTTCGCAGATTTCTACTGACGTAATTCGAGCATGAAAATTATTTCTGCTATTTTTGCGGAAGAGCAAAAAGAATACCATAAATTCACAAGAGTGCATTCACCTGAAACTGGCAGCGTTCCTTAACGCGAGATGTTTGTCGGTGGCCTGAATATTTTTCATGACTAGGCTGCGATATGGGCCGGCAAAGCAGCAACGCAGCTCCAGTGTTGATTGCATGAAAGAGCTCTCTTGCTCTCAAGTTTAAAGTTGGCGGAGCAACTTTTTTACTGCTAGGGAGGGTACTTGTTATTGCTTCGAAACCCTCATTTTTGTTCTATTTTAATTGTGCAGCACGGCAAGCGACTCATTGTGAATATTAGGTGAGGGTAAAGTTTTGAAAATAAATTTCCCTCATTAGAATAAATATCCATTACTTTTAACAAACGCGTAGATTTTTAAAACTATGCTGACTGCAAATTGTCCAATCATGTATGAAAAAATAATTGAAATATATGCATAAAGTTTGCAAACAATATTATGAAACCAATGACTGAAATATTATGATACGCCAATGAGTGAGATTTTGTTCAAAATTTAAAAAACAATATTCCTATTAAATATATCTATTTTATGTACATTTTTTTAAATCAGAGATATTTGGGAACCAGTGAAAAAATGCGGGAAATAAAAAAATTGTGGGGCAGGGTCTTTTATTGGAATGTCAAAGTTCTCGAAGATCCATTATCAAAATTTATTTCAAAGTTTATATAAAATTTAAAAAGATCAGGTTTTATGGTAAGTATAATTCTTTGCGTCTATTTTCCCAAGTGACTTATTTCAGTAAAATTTTATAAAACGTACGATTAATATTTCCTTGATTCCTTTTAGGGCTTTATGAAATTTTCTGTAGCAATAATAATTAATAAATTTTTATGATAATCATTACAATTTTATTCATTTTCTTCATATCCCTCCCTTTTTCCATAAACAGGAACGGTTGCAAAGCTGCTATTTCTATGTATTATCTTCAGCGATTTTCCCTAAATCAAAATGTAAAAGGTTCCATCTCACAAGCCGATGCCAAGAAGGAAACTTGAATACTGGCAACTTTTAGAGACATTATTAATTTATCTTTTTACCTAGAAAGTGTTTCCAGGAAACGGAAATCGCCTAATTACGCGAGTTTTATCTTTTTTCGGGGTAGGACCAAACCAAGGCCAATATATGTGAAAAACTTTTCATGTCATCCGTCTCTGCTTTTACGGCCGAAAACTTTTTTACTTCTTTTCGGAAGAAAAATATAAAGTGAGCTGGCTGCACAAAAGTCAAAAAGAGCCAGTCGGTCAGCGAGAGATGACGGCGAGTCACACAATTTACACAAACAAATAAGCCTCCGAAAATACCCGGCGGTCGAGTGGGGTGTCCGATTGGCGGACTGCAACTCTCGAGTGGCGGCGGCGCTGCGATGATTTCGAGAGTGCTCGCCCGGCAACTTTGTCATTAAAACTGGGCGCACCCTCGTCTCTCGTGAGTGAGTCTCTGCAGCCCACCCCGTGTCTTTTGTTCTTATATTGTGAAAGTTGCAGGTCGATCGCTGCACCCCTCGGATGAACGGAACCGGCTGTTCTCCCCCCTACACCTCTTTCCCTCTTGGTTGCACATTTTATTCTTTTTTATTATTGTTTTTGTTTGGAAAACCTCCATGTGCTCCAAAGCCTCTAAATAAAAGATTTGTAAAATCGGGCATAATTTTTTTTCCAGTGGAAAATTTGTATACTTACACATTTCTAAAAAATTAAAAAAAAAAACGAAGTTAAAGTTTGAAATATATATATAGTGTTGTCTCTTTGGGCAGTATTTTTCAAGTATTTACACAGAATTTTTCGTCATATTTTTTCTCCCTTCTTAAATAATTATTATAGTTTTACATTTCAAAATATTTGGACAGTTCTATTGTGGTGTACATTCTTTTTGTTCCGTATTTCTTTTGTTTGTTGTATTTTACGACACAATGCAATCATCCCCCTATGGAATACATCTTCATATTCAGACGAGAATTTTCTTTTCCAGTAAAATAAATATTAAAGGAGACACTTTTTTTTCATTTTGGGAACATGGAGGTGATCCTTTCTTTCTTCCAGCACGTGCCATATTTAAATAGGACACGCTGGTGTGTGGAGAAAATGCAGCACAAAATCAGAGTAGCGCTATGTGTTCCACATTTCGCGATGCAGACGCTGCAATAAACTTCAAGACTCGCCCCTGTCGTCAGGGCCGCCGTCGAGTGCATGCGCGCCACACTCTCGCCGCTTGCTTCAGCGATTTTCTGTTTGTTTTATAATTATTCCTGCAGGGAGAGATACTTCTTTCCACTTGAAATATTTCCAACGTCACCGAGCCACTCCTCCTTCAATGTGCGAACTCATTTCCACTGCGGGTATATTTTTAGAAGCACATTTATATCGGCACTTAGGCTCTTGGTATAAGCGGAGAGAGCATTTTCTGTCTTGCTCTTAAATTAAGAAAGAAATTTTTTATTAGATGAGCGAGCAAATTCAATTGTTTAAAAATTTGAGTGAAGCATAGTGAATGTATAATTATGGTCTTTGCAAATTTTAATTATTTTGGAAATCATCAGGTTTAAGGACTCCTTATTGCAATGCTAAGAGTACCAAGGAGGTTTTTTTTGATCGCACATATGCCCAATGTTATTTTTTTGCCCCATGAACCCTCAAATTTTTTTCTGCTAATCTGTTTAGGGTCATTCGCTTATCATTTTGTGAAATTTTGAGCAAAAAATTTCGGGCAGTTTTTTTTAATCACCAAAAACAAAAATTTCCATAAGACGCAATGTAAAAATTCAAAAAATCATATTTCAAGAATAATCGGCGCTACCCCCCATTTTTCTTTGTGCAATCAACTCTACTGATAGGTAGGAATCTATAAAAAAAATCTGGGTCCAAAAATTTCGGGCCGATTTGCCGCAAACAGGAGTTGTAGATGTCAATAAGCAGGCCTTAAGGGATAGTTTTCGTCAAGATTTTATCATAACTTATGTAGATTAGTTTTTATATATTTCATTTTTTTTTAACAGTTGAACTTTAAATAAATTTGTTACATAAGTCAATACTTTCAATTCCCAAATTTGTATTACACTGCAATAATAAAGAAAGTAAAGAACAATAATTTTATTTATAACTAAGATAAAATCAAATTTCAAAATTTACTATTCTAGTATTTTCTTTTTACATGCCTAAT